AAAAAGTTATAAGACTTTTAAATATGTGGATTTTAGGGTTATCTTTGGCGCCCCCTAGAACCTAAACCGTGGGGTGCAGCGTCATGATTTGAATAACTTTTAATGGCCATGGGGTGTAGATTGGCCTGAGCAAATGTGGTGCCGGTGGAACGAAAGCCTTCGGAGGAGTTAGCGAAATTCCAATGTGTGCGGATCGGCAAAAAATGCGGAATAACCCTTTAACCGTACATTTGACAGATACGCGCGCATTGACTTTTTTGTAGATCTTATTGAGATACATGTGTGTGTCAATTTTTGTGTCATTTTGCCAAAGCGTACAGGTGTTACACTCAACAATGTGTATTTTCACCTTAGGGGACAAGAAAAAATGGCCTTTTTTCTCCTGCCATGGGGGGGCGCTCTTTTGGGGAGTAAAAATTCCTTCACAAATGTGTTGATGGCTGGACATTGCATCATCCTAGAAAACTTGGAGGCCAGTGAGGGCAAAAATAAAAAGTTATAAGACTTTTAAATATGTGGATCTTAGGGTTATCTTTGGCGCCCCCTAGAACCTAAACCGTGGGGTGCAGCATCATGATTTGAATAACTTTTAATGGCCATGGGGTGTAGATTGGCCTGAGCAAATGTGGTGCCGGTGGAACGAAAGCCTTCGGAGGAGTTAGCGAAATTGCAATGTGTGCGGATCGGCAAAAAATGCGAAATAACCCTTTAACCGTACATTTGACAGATACGCCCGCACTGACTTTTTTGTAGATCTTATTGAGATACATGTGTGTGTCAATTTTTGTGTCATTTTGACAAAACATACAGGCGTTACAGTCAATAGTGTGAATTTTCACCTTAGGGGGCGCTATGGAGCCATTTTGCATTTTCTTGTTTGGGCGACTTCGGAATATCAAATTTTTCACCAGGCCCGGTCGTCCTGCCAAATTTCATGAGTTTTCGCCAGTGGGAAGTGGGCCATTTTCCAGTTCAAAGGGGAGGAAAAATAATAACTAGGGCCCCGTTGGGGCACTGGCGGGCCCGAGCCGTGTCACGCCGCCCCCAGCGCGACCGCCTCCCCCACCCGATCGCGTCACACTTAAGGTCCAAAGATGGTGTGCGCACTTGTTTGTGGTCATTTACCATTATAATGATCGGGAGGCGCAGTTTCTACCAAAGCGCTCGCTGCAGAAAAACTCCATGTCCTATTTGAAAAAAGTCTGGACCATGAGTGAGGGCACAAACACAGCTAAGATATATCCAAATGGCAAGTTGTTCCTCCTTTCGCTTTTGCCGAGAGAGCAGTGCGTTTGAGCCATTGAATGATGAACAGGAAAAACTTGACTTTATTCTCCTGCCATGGGGGGCGCTCTTTTAACGAGAAAAAACTCCTTCACAAATGTGTTGATGGCTGGACATTGCATCATCCTAGAAAACATGGAGGCCAGTGAGGACAAAAATAAAAAGTTATAAGACTTTTAAATATGTGGATTTTAGGGTTATCTTTGGCGCCCCCTAGAACCTAAACCGTGGGGTGCAGCGTCATGATTTGAATAACTTTTAATGGCCATGGGGTGTAGATTGGCCTGAGCAAATGTGGTGCCGGTGGAACGAAAGCCTTCGGAGGAGTTAGCGAAATTCCAATGTGTGCGAATCTGCAAAAAATGCAAAATAACCCTTTAACCGTACATTTTACAGATACGTGGCCATTGACTTTTTCGAAGATCTTATTGAAATACACGTGTATGTAAAATTTTGTGTCAATACGACAAAACATACAGGCGTAGCACTCAACAATGTGTATTTTCACCTTAGTGGACAAGAAAAAATGGACTTTTTTCTCCTGCCATGGGGGGGCGCTCTTTTGGCGAGTAAAAATTCCTTCACAAATGTGTTGATGGCTGGACATTGCATCATCCTAGAAAACTTGGAGGCCAGTGGGGACAAAAATAAAAAGTTATAAGACTTTTAAATATGTGGATTTTACGGTTATCTTTGGCGCCCCCTAGAACCTAAACCGTGGGGTGCAGCGTCATGATTTGAATAACTTTTAATGGCCACGGGGTGTAGATTGGCCTGAGCAAATGTGGTGCCGGTGGAACGAAAGCCTTCGGAGGAGTTAGCGAAATTCCAATGTGTGCAGATCGGCAAAAAATGCGGAATAACCCTTTAACCGTACATTTAACAGATACGCGCGCATTGACTTTTTCGTAGATCTTATTGAGATACATGTGTGTGTCAATTTTTGTGTCATTTTGCCAAAGCGTACAGGTGTTACACTCAACAATGTGTATTTTCACCTTAGGGGACAAGAAAAAATGGACTTTTTTCTCCTGCCATGGGGGGGCGCTCTTTTGGGGAGTAAAAATTCCTTCACAAATGTGTTGATGGCTGGACATTGCATCATCCTAGAAAACTTGGAGGCCAGTGAGGGCAAAAATAAAAAGTTATAAGACTTTGAAATATGTGGATCTTAGGGTTATCTTTGGCGCCCCCTAGAACCTAAACCGTGGGGTGCAGCGTCATGATTTGAATAACTTTTAATGGCCATGGGGTGTAGATTGGCCTGAGCAAATGTGGTGCCGGTGGAACGAAAGCCTTCAAAAGGAGTTAGCGAAATTCCAATGTGTGCGAATCTGCAAAAAATGCGAAATAACCCTTTAACCGTACATTTGACAGATACGTGGCCATTGACTTTTTCGAAGATCTTATTGAAAGACACGTGTATGTAAAATTTTGTGTCAATACGACAAAACATACAGGCGTAGCACTCAACAATGTGTATTTTCACCTTAGTGGACAAGAAAAAATGGACTTTTTTCTCCTGCCATGGGGGGCGCTCTTTTGGCGAGTAAAAATTCCTTCACAAATGTGTTGATGGCTGGACATTGCATCATCCTAGAAAACTTGGAGGCCAGTTGGGACAAAAATAAAAAGTTATAAGACTTTTAAATATGTGGATTTTACGGTTATCTTTGGCGCCCCCTAGAACCTAAACCGTGGGGTGCAGCGTCATGATTTGAATAACTTTTAATGGCCATGGGGTGTAGATTGGCCTGAGAAAATGTGGTGCCGGTGGAACGAAAGCCTTCGGAGGAGTTAGCGAAATTCCAATGTGTGCGGATCGGCAAAAAATGCGGAATAACCTTTTAACCGTACATTTGACAGATACGTGCGCATTGACTTTTTTGTAGATCTTATTGAGATACATGTGTGTGTCAATTTTGGTGTCATTTTGCCAAAGCGTACAGGTGTTACACTCAACAATGTGTATTTTCACCTTAGGGGACAAGAAAAAATGGACTTTTTTCTCCTGCCATGGGGGGGCGCTCTTTTGGGGAGTAAAAATTCCTTCACAAATGTGTTGATGGCTGGACATTGCATCATCCTAGAAAACTTGGAGGCCAGTGAGGGCAAAAATAAAAAGTTATAAGACTTTTAAATATGTGGATCTTAGGGTTATCTTTGGCGCCCCCTAGAACCTAAACCGTGGGGTGCAGCGTCATGATTTGAATAACTTTCAATGGCCATGGGGTGTAGATTGGCCTGAGCAAATGTGGTGCCGGTGGAACGAAAGCCTTCGGAGGAGTTAGCGAAATTCCAATGTGTGCGGATCTGCAAAAAATGCGAAATAACCCTTTAACCGTACATTTGACAGATACGCCCGCACTGACTTTTTTGTAGATCTTATTGAGATACATGTGTGTGTCAATTTTTGTGTCATTTTGACAAAGCGTACAGGCGTGACAGTCAATAGTGTGAATTTTCACCTTAGGGGGCGCTATGGAGCCATTTTGCATTTTCTTGTTTGGGCGACTTCGGAATATCAAATTTTTCACCAGGCCCGGTCGTCCTGCCAAATTTCATGAGTTTTCGCCAGTGGGAAGTGGGCCATTTTCCAGTTCAAAGGGGAGGAAAAATAATAATAATAATAATAATAACAAAAGAAGGAAACATGCAGGAACAAGAGGGCTCTCGCAGCTGCTTAGCAGCTACGCTCGGGCCCTAATAACAAAAGAAGGAAACATGCAGGAACAAGAGGGCTCTCGCAGCTGCTTAGCAGCTACGCTCGGGCCCTAAAAAACCACTTGGGGAATAATAGGGCCTACGCCCGGCTGCTCTGCAGCTGGCTCGGGCCCTAAAAAGAAACAAAGAAAAACCCCTTGGGGAATAATAGGGCTCTCGCAGCTGCTTAGCAGCTACGCTCGGGCCCTAATGATCATTTCTTCATGTAAAGGAATCAGACCGAGATGCTACGGCAGAAGAACTACCGAGTCTGCAGTGCAAAATGATTAATATGATGATTTTTACTTTAAGGAAATGATAAAGTAATGATCATAAATGTTATTCCTTGAGCTGCGTCACCCCGCTGCAGTCATTCTGGAATCGCCCGAGGTCTCCGTGCAAACAAGCAGCTGCTGGAAGAGGGTGGGTGAGTTGTGTGTAGTCTCTTTGCTTAAGAAATCAGGTAAAGCTAAAAGATGTTTGGTGGCTAGTGCTATGGCTGGGACCCTAAATGCACTGTTGATGAAGTTAGGTGCTGTTCTTAACATTTTTTGTGGCTATAGAGTAGCTTTTTGGTTAAGTGTGTGGCTTCTGCGACTGCTGTGTATTGCTGTCGTGAGGTCGTTACTAAAGTTGGTATAACTAGAGAAGCAAGCTGTCAGCAACATTCATCTCTCGACGGGGTGTCTAATTTGGTGTTACAGTGTGTTTGACCCTAAATTAATTTTACGCCGGAATATCCCTTTAAGTTTGATACACATGCATGGATCTTTACATTTTTGCCATCCACCTTTTTCAAAACACCACAACAACTGGGTCTTTCTTGAGTATCTGTTACAGCATTTAGGCGGCATATACAATCTATTATACTTGTACTGTCTTTAACATTTCCCTCACAAGGATTTCCCCACGTACTAGCTGTGTAAACCTATTAATAAAGTAAACGGCACTTTACTGGCCTTTTTACACAGGCAAAGACAAAGGACAAACACGCAACGTTGAAGGACCTCCGAGGACCAAGATGGCTGCGCCCGTAGGAGACGCCGGGGAGTTTGAAAGCTGGCTAAATAATCGTCTGGACTCGTTAGAAGTGGACCGTGAGGTATATGGCGCATATATTTTAGGAGTCCTGCAAGAAGAGGAGAGCGACGAGGAAAAAGAAGACGCTCTTCAAGGAATATTGTCCGCATTTTTGGTGAATATTTAAAGCGGCATGTCACTCTCTGCCACTGAGGACGTGTTTTTGCATGTGCTGCTGTCTGTCATGTTTACCAGGCCGTGTTTAGTGACAGCACTGATATCAGCTGTTACAACTGTGGCTTTAACAAGACATTAGACTCAGTCATCTCTCTACAAATGGAGTCCAGACACCGAAGATGGGCACGAACGCTGTTCCCACCCACCCAGCCAAATCCCGCTTAAAAAAAATGTAATATTTACTTTAATGTGATCTAATCTGTACACGGAGGTAGTAATCCACTTGTGCTCGAAAAAGAAATACATTTTCACATTTCCTGACAAATTCGGCTCCGAAATATAACCTAAAATTTATACCGCCACCTGTTAAACTATCTGCCTTTTACATAAATCAGACTAGAACCAAAGGGTGCTGTTGGTTTGGGGCGTATCATTCAAGCCCTAAACCAAACCTGATCTCATATTACCATTTGTGTTTATGCATGGGCATGAACGGTCTGTATATTTTAAGTAATTGAAAGGGGGAATCAAGAAGTGTCATTGTTGATTAACTGTTGTTGTCACTTGTATGCAGGATGAGGACACAGTGGCAGACATCTGCAAACAGATCATCACACAGTGGACAGAACACTGCAGCCGATCAGCAGCCAGCAAAGATTCTGATGGTAGTTCTTCTTATCTTCTGGTTTCTTTTTTCATTCTCATGTAAAATGTTAAAATTGTTAACACTTGCTTACTGTTCAGGTACAGTGCAAACATTTATGAAATAATGATAATAGATAATGATAAAGCTCAACTCAACTCAACTTTATCGGTAAAGCACTTTTAAACAACCACAGCTGAACAAAGTGCTGTACTTAGGTAGAAAAAACAATGCAGACATAAAAAAACAATCAAAAAAACAATTAAAACAGTGGATAAAAAAAGGAGATATTAAAATGTAAAATATAGTTTCAATGTTTTTGAAAACTAATTTAAAAACGTTGACACAAATAACTAGAAACAACCCATAAAACACATAAACAGAAGTCTCGTGCAGAGTTGAAAGCCAATGAATAAAAATGGGTTTTAAGATGAGTTTTAAAAATGGACAGTGTGGGAGCTTTCAGCAGTCCCAACTGAAAAACCAGGAAAATAGAGTAGTCATAAAACTTATGTAAGAGACAGCAGGCTCATCATCTCATTTAAATCTTGAGTAAACAGCCAAGACAGCTTGCCTCGGATTTAGCCGTCAGTACCAGGTAAACATGCAGAGGGTTGAGATCTTTGAGTTTTAAAATGTTTGTTTTGAATTAGGGCCAGAGTGCAAGCCACTTCTGTCTTAGACCAAGAGAGAGAGAGAAAAATAAAAACAGTACCTCTGACTGCAAAAAGTTTTAATGCCGGAGAGCTGTTTCCACCCCTGTGTGTACTGTCAGTGTTATTATGGGAAAGAGACGAAGAGGCTGTTTACTGTGTACATAACTATAAGGATGTGTATACAGTCTGGATCCTCAAGCTCAGATGGGAATCTCTTTGGGTCCTTCTGTTAATGTATATTCACATAGAGGGTAGAAAGTTGGAACTTATAACACAAGTTGACATACCAAATATTTTTTATCACAGTTTTTTGGATGTTTTCTGTCTTTTTTTTTTCTGTAGCCGAGGTCCAGGCCATCGCAAGTATGATAGAAAAACAGGCCCAGATCGTGGTGAAACAAAAAGAAGTGTCTGAAGAATCCAAGAAAAGGAAAGAAGCCCTTCTCGCTCAATATGCTAACATAACAGATGAAGAGGAATATCCTTCACTTTGGAGTTTTAGCTTAAGAGATACCAAGGCGGTAGGGATGGGAATCAAGAACCGGTTCTTGTTGAGAACCGGTTCCAAAAAGTTCAATCCATCGACATCATTTACATTTTATCTCAACAATTCCCTTAACTATTCCTTTCTTCAAGGTGCCTTGAAAAACGGTCTCGTGAGAGCCAATCTACGTGAATGAGAACAGGTCTTTGAGGAAAAAAACATGGCAAATGGTACGAAAAGTAGGCAGAAACGATCTAAAGTGTGGCTTCATTTTACTAAGAAAGACAACAACAGGTTTTGTATGGAAGTTTTGAGTTTGTGTACCATGGACTAACTGAGGTAAAAGCACATAAAAAACACTCCAAAATTTTGTTTGATTATTTTTAGACTCTCACTGAAGGTGGCATACATCTTTTTCTGTTATCAGAGACCTCATAAAATTTTGGGATAATGGTGAAAACCTATAGTGTACTTTTTCTTTGATTTAAAAAAAAAAGGCATTGTTAAGGGAATCGTTAAAGAATTGAATCGATAAGCACAATCGATAAAGGCATCAATATCGATAAACTCTTATCAATTCTCATCCCTACAAGGCGGTTTGGTGTTTCCCATCATTTACCACTCTGCCTCTTAGCAGGCAGGAAGTCTGACCATGAGTATTTTATTCACTTGCATGCTAGTTACGTTCTTTACACCAGTCATGATCCACAAGATATCAGCTCTTTCCTTGACTGAAGCACGGAAGCTGAAGAAGAGGAGCCAACAAGTGCAACTAACTTTGCTGCACAGGAGAAGTGTATCCTTTAAATCAGTGGTTCTCAAGTCCAGTCCTCGAGGCCCACTGTCCTGCATGTTTTGGATGTTTCCCTGCTCCAACACACCTGATTCAAATGATTAGCTCGTTATTAAGCCATTACAGAGCTTGATAACGAGCTGATTATTTGAATCAGGTGTGTTGGAGCAGGGAAACATCCAAAACATGCAGGACAGGGGGCCTTGAGGACTGGACTTGAGAACCACTGCTATAATTAATCTAATATATCTCATCTCCAAAATGCAAAGTACTCATGCGTTTGAAATTGTCCTTGACTCAAAAGTCTCAGCTCTCTTTAAGAACACCAACGTGGAGGAGGTCCTCAACAGACAGAAGCAAAAACGAGAACAGGCTCGGGAAGATGCTCAGAAGAAGAAAGAGACGGACAAGATGCAGCGGGAGAAGGACAAACTAGCCAAACAAGACAGAAAAGAGAAGGAGAAGAAGCGTACACAAAAAGGTGAACGCAAAAGATAAAACCAAGAGAAAGGACACTTTACACGTGAGAGAAGTGTTTAAGACAAAGGTTAAAGAACAAGAGCTATCAACTCTTTTTATCTCACCATCATCAACAAATTCTTTGTGTTTATATTTTAATCTGACCCTCTTCATTATTACTTTTTGAACACTTTCTGATGTGAAAATGAATATTCTAGATGTAGTTCACACTCCAAATTAAGGTCTTTCTTTCTTGAATAGTTTTGCACAGATAGAGCAAGATTTCAACTCAATACTAAAAACACTGAGGTGACTAAGTTTAGGCTTTTGTCAGAATTGGTGGAATGTGCTTGGCCAAATAATCAAGTTGAAGACCCCAAAAATAAATTTGATATAATACAAAAAAGGGGGTTGGAGGAAAGTACTTAAACTTGGTTCAGTTTTGAAATCCTCTGAGCCAGTGTCTCACAAATGCCTTTATGATTTCTGTGCAACTTAAAGAGGTTTTTTTTGAAAGTCTCAGCTGCGTAAAAAAGAACAAAGGAGCAGCGGCTCACTTATACCTCAAACTACCATGTACCATAAATGCTGTTTATGGTGGGAGTGATCATCTTTATAAATCAATAAAAAATAAACATTTTCAGCAACTGGGATCACTTTATTTTGACATCTTCTGTTACAGAACCAGTGACCAGAAAAAAAAATAACATGAACATTAAGATGTGAGATAAGAACAACTAACATGTCAAAAGCATAGTTGGAGGTGATGATACAGAGTGAGTCAAAAGACTTATACTTGCAGACAACTGTTGCTTGACCTCTCTATTATGAACATCAACTGTTGTATCAAGACAAAAAAACTGTCACACTGATACCAATACTTTTTGACAACAGTATCTAGTGTGATTGATAATAAAAATAATAAACTGTACCACTGTCAGAATCCACACAGCTCAAACTTGCAACAAAATTATAGATAAAACTGAATTATAATTATTAGCAGGAAGTAAATTTTGTTGGAAAACCTTTTATAATCCATCATATTAAACCTTTGTTACACAGCAAGTCTTCAGTTTGGCTGCATCCAACAAATTGTTTTAATTTAGAATATGTTACAGCTCACTGATAAAAATGATATTACCTGCATGTTTATTTATAATGCGTGTGATTAACCTGCTAAAATTGAAAACACTGAACCCCAATGTTATCAGACTTGGTAAATCATAAGTTAAAACATTAGATTAAATAGATTTTTTTGTTTGTTTTCCTAAACATGTTACATCAGAAACAACATGGAACACTTGAGATAAGACTGTAGAGGATTGCTTGTTAATTTTGGCTTTTGTTCTTATGATTCAACTATTGTTTGGGAGTTACACATAAGTGAAAGTCCATCACATTTCAATAAACTAATAAAAGAAGAAGAATTCGCTGAAATCTTCTTCATAAATAGTCTCTTTAAATACAACGATGCTGGAGCAGAACAGGTTACCTCTCAACAAACATTAATTGGATGAAATGAAGTTAAGATGCAGGAGGAAAAGTTTCATGAAAATCCTACACAATACATAGCTATACGGAAGTCCTGAGCACCAAAGAGTGCAGCCACCGAGGTTTCAATGGCTTGTTTCAAATTCTGCAGGGATAGCAGTGATGCTGGTTAAATGCTACAATAGACTTCCAGGTAAGTAAAACAATAAATACATCTTTCACATCCTCCTGCTGCTTATGGAAAATGTATAACAAGTGTGTACAGGAGTGCAAATTTAATCAATCTGACTTCGAACTCATGCTTGGTGCCTGCTGAGGCGAATCTTAAGAGGAGTATCCCTCACATGTAGAGGGGCTCCTCCATGTGTGGGGCCTCCCTGGTAGCATGCTGCTCCTGCTTCTTGTCAGGTTTCGGGAGTGTCATCTGGAGGGCGTACCACAGCGCTGTCCGTAGTTTCCTTGTGGTAGCAGCAAGGTTTTTCAGTGCAGTGGCTAGCAACAGGTCATCTGTGAAACAGAAGTATGTGAATGCCAGCTAGGTTTGAGAAAAAGCACACGCTTGCCACTGCAAACTGAGTTACCTCTGTCCTCTGTGAAATGGGCCCTTGGGGACTGGTATTTGAACATATTGGTCATCTCTTCCTTGCGTGTGGACTGTGTGATGCAAATCGCCGTATATTGCTTTTTAAGTGCTGCGTAGATGTCAGCATGGAGGGGAATGTTGCACCAACACACCATACAATCCAGAAGGCTCACTACCTGTAAGAAATCAAAGTCTGCACTTTACACTTCGGTTTTAGAAATACAAGTCTTAATGCATCATTCAATGTGGATTAATGCGGCAAAACAGTGGCGATATTAACTCTGTAGAAAACCTGTGCTTCATTATAATAATACTTGAAATGTTGTCAAATATTCCACTACATGAAATCAGGCCTTATAACTTGATGTGAACTGTAAAGGTTCAGAGTAACAGCCTTCAGTTTATTCAGACCTTGTTTTAATTGAATACACCTCAAAGACAAGATATTTACTGTGTTTTTTGTCAATATTTACTCATTTTGAATTTGATGATACAATACGCTCTTAAAAAAGTTGGGACAGAATACACAAAAGGACTTTTTAAGGGATTGACTCTTTACCTCATTATCTGCATTGTTTAGAATAAAAAAAACACTACCAGGGAATGAATTGAGGGGATGCACAGTTTGTGGCTCTGTGCAGAATAAAGTCTCAAACACCTCCTACATTTATAAGGACTCTGCTTGCAAAATTCACCTGTAGGTGGCAGTATGTAAACAATAACTCATTTGAGGGACTCACCCTTGCTTGTTCTCTTGTGAGTTTGACAATAAGGTGGTCAACTCTCGTTGGATTTGGTGGTGTTTTGGCAATGCTATTGCTGATCACTGGAGCACTCTTTTTACCAGGGAATGTCATGGAAAGTATGGCCTGTGTCTGAGAAAATAAACAAAAAAAAATACAGATAATTTAGTAACACATGAGAAATAGCATCAAAACATCATTTTTCTTCATTCTGACTTTCTCTCAGATTTGCACATATAATCCCAAAACTAAAAAGATTTTTATTGTAATATTTGTTAGAGGCCATCATGAAAATACACGTGTTGACATGTTTGTAGTTTATTTGGACAGCAGATTTGATTTTGTCTGACTTCTGCCTACAAAGAACCTGTTGATCCATGTAGTTACATTTTTCTAAGTGTGGAAAAGACTTGCAGAATAATTGATTAAATTTCCAAGATGGAAAACTGAATAATTACTACTAATAAAATATCATGGAGGTGTGTCTGACAGCTTAATGTCTGACACACACAATTAAAATTAATATTTTTAATTTGAATCTTTAGGTCTCTTTTCCACTTTCATATCCAATATCCCTTCTACTCATATTACACTGCATTCAGCCCTCTGAAAGACGCTCTGACACCAGCACACAAAAGCAGAGACACATAAAGAAGTGAGAGTACAGGAGGAGCATCAAGTTTACTAATCAATACCACTGACTTCATTTCTGTCATGTTAATGTTTCATCTGCAAGCTCTTTCATGGTTCTATGTTAAAGTAAACACATCGTCATTTTCAACCTAAGATTTGAGTGTAGACACAACAGGTAAACACTATTCCATGCATGATTTAACTTCACAGATCTCTGCACAGTATTCAATTTCATCTGTTTCAATAAACGTGATTTTAGAATGAAGTAGATATTACACACCCTGCAATGTGGCAATTGTGCATGTGCATATCCCAATTGTGACTTTCAAATAATCTAGCAGGCAGCCCTACTCCACACTACTAAAAAGTTCTGTTTGAAAAAAAATGCAACTTCAGTAGTCTATATACAGCCCATATTGTTAAAATAAGAATATTCTAAACAAAGCACCATTGCAGATGAATGCAGGACACTGGATACAAAACTAGATTTGGAAAGACATACCTTCTCTCTCTCCTTCTCCAAACATTTCCACTGCTCATAGCACTCCCCCAGGTAGAATTTACGCTGCATCGCATGTCCCTGATTCTTCACCACTGTAGTTGTCATAGCAGAGGCATTGCCACCATAAATGATTGTTCCTCGGCAGGTCACCATGCCCCTAGCAACAGAGTTGAAAGCTGCAGACTCACGGGCTGACATCAAATCCCCAAAGTCTGTTCCAGGAGCAGCCCCTCCATAGGGCTGCATGACTCTTGAGCTAAAGTTGGAGGAGTTGAAGGTGGCAGTCGACATCTTTCTGTTGTCATTCATAGGACACATGATCTGCTGTGCATTTGCAGCATGGGCTGTGTTGTTGTCTTCATCAGTTCTTTGGAATTGCACGTTCCGCATGTTCCAAGTGGGGTCAAAGTACAGGTTTTGCGGGAGGCACTGTTTCTCATCTCCCCCTGGCATATCAGTAATGGTTGGGTGTCTTGCTTGGACACCTCCTGCTGAGAGACCAGATATAAGCGTCCTCTTCTTTTCCTCCTGGATTGAAGGCCTATTCTTAACCTGTGTCCAGACGTTCTTAGCATGTTGCTTTGCAAACTGATCCATGCTTCCAATGGGGTTTGAAGCATTTTGTTTATGCATGGTCGCCTTGCTTTGGTAGTGGTTGTGGCCGTTCAGAAATGCAAAGATTGGGTTTGGTTGCTCAAAGTAGCTTGTGTTTTGAGGGCTGACCCCCGGTGGATCTTGAAATGCATGATAATTGAATATTTGGTTATTTTCTCCTTCATTTCTTTCTACCTGCTCAGTCCCACATTTACAACCTGGCTGTCTCTGGGTCTGCAATCCATAAGTACTTAGTGAGGATGCAGAGGCTCTACTTTTGCACTGTTCAACCATGCTTTCATCATTGTGCATGGCTACTGTCTGCCTGTGCATGTTTGGGAGGTCTCCTCGGCGCAAGTAGTCATGTTCACCTGCAACGAATGTCTGCAAACTGTTGACCAGTTGGCTGATTTCTTGGTGACTGTACTGCTCATTACTGAGGGGCTTTGCACTGCTCTGGTTGAAGTGGTCATCATAATACTGATTGAAACACCTGTCGCTCATTTTAGTTTCAGATCTTGAGATGTCACTGAGATCTGGAAAACTATCCTTAGGCAAACCAATCTCCCCATCTTTGTCATGTTGTTTCTGAGCGAGGCTGGTGCTTCTACTGTTGAACACTGGTTGGCCTGGTGGCAGTTTCTGAGAACGTTGAGTGTAGCTGTCTCTGACTCCATTAGGCAAATTGAAACGCCAGTGTTCATTTGCAAAAGTGTCATTGGGCTGCTGGAGAAACTGCTCAAAATCTTTTCTGATGGATCCCTGTGTTTTACTTAAAGCCTCAGACAACTCATAGCTCAGGGGAAAGTTGTGGTTCTGTTTTGTTTTCATCCCTGATTGAAAATATTCTGGCAGTTCTTCTCTTAGTGAAGACCAGAGGGGGTTAAATGAAGAACTGCTCCTACAAGAGAGATCCAGAGTTTTCTTTAATGTTAAACATATAACAAAAGGTTTGAAGCAAGCCAAAATCTAGAAATATTTATAGTTTCGGTTACTAGAAATCGAAATTAATATCTACCTTAAACCTCGATGGGACAATTTTGAAATATGACATACCCATCACTGAAGAAGTTGTCCTGGGAATCTGCATCTTCCAAAATGTTTGACACAAGATGCTGCAGGCTGCTCTCCCCATCACACCCATCATTTTCTGTCGAGGGTTTCCTTCAGTAGCAAGAAAAAACATCCACTGACTTACTTCTTACATACTTCAGTCACTATACATGCTTCATTTCCCTGTGTATATGAATTTATACATGTCCTTTATTGTCCCTTTCAGCACACCATATTTAAGCTCCTGCTGCAGCTTAATGGAAAACTAGAAAATGCAATTTCTGAAGAAATTGCGAGTGGGATTGCTTCAGTTGAAATTGCTAGCGCTACGCTGCTATTGCGAATGGCTGAATTTTAAAATATGTGAAAGGTCAAAAGGTATGAAGAATCAGGAAGATTTGAATCAATTGGAATAAACTCAATTGAATGAATTGAATAATGCATGAATAATAATTTTAAAAATTCAACATGTGAAAATTAAAATGATTAAAAACCCTGAAGTATGGGAAAGGCTTGAAGAACCAATAAGTTTTGAATCAGTGTAAATGAGTTGGAATTTGTTTGAAAGAACTGAATAATGTATTAAGAGTAAAAAATATTTAAAACTGGAGAATTAAAAGGTTACAAATCTGGAAGAAAAAGAGGTTTGAAGAATCAAAACGGTTTAAATCAGTTTGAAGGAAATAAATTAGTTTGAAGAACTAAATAATTTATTTTCAATGAATGATTGAAAAATGGGGACAATGTAAATGAAAAAAAATCCTGATTTGACCCCATAATGTCCTCAATGAGCTGAATTTATTAAGCCCTGGATGGTTTCTGTAGCTCAAGGTTTGTGCGAAGAGATAGATGACAAAGTTCGTCAAATAACTCTATTGAAGGGTTTTAAATGTAACCCCCAGTACTCTGTGTACTGAGCCTGGCTTCATGTGTCTCATATGGCTGTTAGAAGCAGCTTTCCAGCCAGCTGTGTGTCTCCAGGTGCTCCCTTTGGTTGCCATGGTGACGATAGATGCTTAACAACAGCAGGAGAAAGGAGGCTTGAGGCTGAGAACGTAATGCCCAAACAACGTCATATTTCTCATCCTCTGTAACTGCTATCTTCATGATAATGAGCTTGTGAGAACCACAAGACCCGGCTGAACACGTTGATACAACTTCTGTGTCTGTGGAGCCAAAAATGCCTTCACTACGACAAGTTAAAAACATGTCCAGTTTGTGTTTCCTCTGAAAATCCTCCTCTCAGGTTTACATTGGAGTCAATGGAGAAAGCTGGAGAAATTTGGGGGATGTCTGTGGCAGTTGGTGTCTGCCCAGGCCACTGTGTGTGTCCTATGGCTTTGATTTTTTAGATGAAGAGTGACAGCGAGTTTTGCCATCACTGTACCAAATTTTATCTGTGTAGAGCGAAGTGAGTTGCCACAATCCTTTTGTAAAGACAAAGTTTTGAGGATCAATTTTCAGCCTGTCTCACTCTAGCTGTGAGGTCACCCACTCTAGCTGCCAACATTCCGTGCAATACACACTAATGTTAAAACCTGAACAGGTATGAAAATCTTTGGACTTTTTGAACTGTCACTGTGAGAAAAGTATGAATGCCATGAAGATGGTGAATGAATGAGTGAATGTCTGAAGATGTGTGAATATTTTAAAGTTTGAATGAAGTTTCTAGGTGAAAGTATGAATGAATGAGAAGAGGTTGAAGTTGAGTACGTCTGAAGCCCTTTTCCCATTGACTTCCATTATAACGAAGTTTTAAACAAATCTTAATATTTTGAAAAGTACAAATGGGATTAAAAATGTTGAAGATGTGGAATAATGCTGACGAATTTGTGAATATTTTGGTTTTTGAATGAAGTTTCTACGTGGAAGTATAGAGGAGTTGAAGGCTTTTGAAGTTTGAAGCCAATTTGAACATTCCGTAATGCATTTCTAATGGGAGAAATCGGTCGGAAAACCTGGAATATCTCGGAAAGTATGAATGTTTGGAAATTTTTGAATACAAGCCGGAATCTCCGGAATGAGACGAATCTTTTGAAGTTTGAATGGTTTGAATACGTTGAAGTATGTGGAAGTAGTTGACTGCCAAAAAACGGCGGAATAATAATAATAATAATAATAAAGATATGAATAACATATAGTGGGAATGCTTTGCAATCCCACTAAATAAGAACACTGCGCTTTGAATGACATATTTTACTTTTAAAAAAGGAGCCTACTCAATTCAGTAACAGTGTTATCCTTTAATTAAAAAAAAAAAAATTAACACTTTAATTTAAAGCAGTGGTTCTCAAGTCCAGTCCTCAAGGCCCACTGTCCTGCATGTTTTGGATGTTTCCCTGCTCCAACACACCTGATTTAAATGATCAGCTCGTTATCAAGCTCTGTAATGGCTTAATAACGAACTGATCATTTGAATCAGGTGTGTTAGAGCAGGGAAACATCCAAAACATGCAGGACAGTGGGCCTCGAGGACTGGACTTGAGAACCACTGATTTAAAGACTTGGAGCCCTAAAGCTGCCCCCTGCCTCTGCCTCATGCTCTCAGACCACGCTGGTGTAGCTGAACAGGAATTATTTGGGTGATTAATTGCGGAAAACTAGGACTGAATGATATGTTGTTTGAATATTGTGACCATTAAATATGCTGTTCACGCATCCCCCAGAGCACATAGTACTTTTAGCATCTACGCCTGCAGTGCCTGTTAATAGTGACAAGAAAATCTAATGCAGAAAATGGCTGCGAGTTTTTGTTTCATCAGAAGAACCATCACAGGGCAGCAGATTTATCATAGTTTTTTAACATCAACAGAAATCACTGTGCATGTGTAAGAAGTCAATGGCATTTATTAGTTAATTTTGTCAACTTTTGCTCCACCTGGGCTCTCGCCTTCTGTTGAGTCTCTACTTCTGCATGCTCATGTCACAACTGTCGGAGGCCTGGATACAGTGTGGTATAAGAAGGACAGGAACAGCCTAAAATACCTAGGTTATAAATAGTTTATTTACCTGCATATAATACGTGTACCACATATATTTATATATGTGGTGTAAATTCCTGTAGATTTTAATATAACACTTTATATAGTGGAAAGAAAAAATCGCAGTATTAGATTTTTCTGTAACTCTGCAGGTAACCACTGAAACTCTGCAATTATATACAATGAATTCCATGTTTCTATAGTTAAATTTAAATTTATTACCTGCTTTTTGTGCCGCTCTGACCACAGCTAATAAGGCCATAGGGATTGTCATTACCACTCTGAGACCCTGCCATAATAGGTGATGTGTCCTGTTCTCGCATTGAGACGCTGGGGTGTGAAACAAGCAGTGATGACGCACCACCATTTTGTCCAATTCCCCCATTCACACTGACCTGAAAACAAAACAGGTGTACCTTCAATTACTGTGGGTAGCATATAAAGTTAAGTGAAGGCTTATAAACTATAAAGTTTTCTATGTGACAGGTTTAACACAAATTAAAAAATAAAATAGAAAAAAGAGGCACATAATAAATAAAATATCAAAAGTTATGATCAATGTTTATTCCAAAACCTGTTACAATTAAATAAGTACAGAAATGAAGGGCATGATGCTGTGATTCTGTGCCAAGATACAATATTAAACAAACTTAAGTTACAACCGTACAATTACCTTGACTAGTCGGTCAGCGTACCCTTTGATGATTTGTCTTTTAATCACAATCAAGAGACCAAATGACCTTCGTTCCAACGTAAAATTCATTACTGTATTTTAACGACTTTTTTCCGTCTAAAATGGTGAGGAAGACGCATGTCCTCGTCTTTGGTTCAAAACGAAACCCCCTGACCCTTTCAATGGTCAGTTCAACAAGGTCCAAGAAAAAAAAAAGAATAACCAGAAAACGGGACTGCTTTGATTTGATATTTAACTCTGACAGATGAAAGGATTTTCAGTTGGTGGTTTAGAAAAACAGACCAACGGTCATTCGGTTTCTGATCACGAGGGAAAAAAAACTGATATTCTAAGGGTACCCTGGCCCGAGATGACGATGCAATTTTCCACCTACTCTTTTGCTATTTTTAACCCCTAATCAATATCCACGGTTGCAATAAATATGCCCTGTCATGTAAAATATAATTACTCCAACAAAATTATAGCTCACCTGACGTTGAAAAGTTGGGAAAAGTGAATAGGAAGATGTACTGTGATGCCCATTCAATGCCATTCTGGACTCCCCTGAACTTGACCAAAGTTTTAGGCCTTCAAAGGAAGTGGTCTGCCAAACACATATAAAATAAGAAGAACTTAATTCATCCACGAGGGGAAATTCGATAATAATTGTTAATATTTGATGGAACCAGCACAGTAAACCGTGTTAAAGCCAGTTCATATTTCAAAGCGTCTATCAGCTAGCATATTTAGCCGTTATCGTTAGTGGCTCAAGGTAGCAGTTTGCCAAGTCTACTTGGGTTTACAAGGACTTTATTTACCTTGCCTGTAATAAAGCGGTATTCTTGTCAGTCAATTGAGTCAATTTTCTCATAAAAAATAAAAATGTTAGGATAATTCACACGACGAACTTACCATTTTAGGCTGAGCGAGCTTTCAAAGATCGTCACCGCAATTATCGTTGAGGGCTCTCGTGCCCCCTCAACTGGTTGGACATTGTCCTCGCGACCTGAACGGACATTGGTTGCGCTTGATGACGCTAGATTGTAGTCCAATAAACAGAAAGCAGACTATGACAGGGCATAGCAACAAGTGTCAGATTTATAAACTGTTACTAATCTATGGTCAAACCCCATATTTAAGGCCTCAGTGCCCAAGTACTAAAAAAGATAGTCAACTTGGTTCAGATTTTATCAGCTCGTTACATCTAGTTTGAATTATCAGTCATTTAAAATCGAGTTTTACAAGTAAAAATTGTTGAACAGTTACCAACAACTTAAATTTCACATAAATAACTTTTGAACAATTTAATGTATTTATTTATTTATTTTGTACAAACTTCAGGACACATTTTGATCATAAATTATAAATTCTGGATGAAATTGACTTAACAAGGGGAAAAGTTTTCCTCATCTTGAAAATCTGGTGAAGCAACGTAAACCAGCTGTGGAGTTAAGTTTGTTGATGCTAGTAAGATTACGGTCGTGGTATTACTTTCTAAATAAAAGCATTTCGTTTGCGAGCTATTGCACAGTGCGTTTATTTTCTTTCAGCCCAAATATAAAATGTTAGTGGTGTCAATTATTAACTTAACTCTATAGTATATTTTTGTCCTTTTTTGTATTGTATCACTTTAAATATGAATTGAAAGGCCAAATGGAACGTGTACGGTAATGGTAAATAATATGTGTCCTTAACGCAGAAAAATGTCGTTCGTCGCCGTATCTTTTAACGCGCATCAAATATAGGATACACTTGATAAAATGATTCATTTCTAAAGAGTAAGCGGGCTAGAGCCACCTGTCCGTGTGCAGGTAAGTAAACGAAAATAAAATACACATATATAGTAGGAAATATTTATTTTATTGTGAAAGTTTCATTCCGGAAGTAGGGTTTGTTATTCTTCCTGACTTGATTGTGGTGTGACCCGGAGTTGTGGAAAAGAAAAGAAGTCAGCCTACACTGATTAAAGCAGAGATCCAGGACCAAGGGTGCTGCGTGTGGATGTTCAAGACTAGATCTGTTACTTAGGAGGTTCCTTTCGTTCATGATCGTCTTGCAGAGCTAATGACACAAAGTTGCAAAGTGAATTTACCGAAACTTTAAAGGACAAGAACTGTTTTTCAGCTAGTGAAAATGATTTTTTGCAAGGCGGTTTTTGTTACTCTCCTGCTGCCACTGCTGATATCATCACAGTACCAAGGGGACAACGGAATAGTGGTCCCAGAGCATGGATTTTGTCAGCCGATTTCAATCCCTCTCTGCACGGACATAGCCTACAACCAAACAATTATGCCAAACTTAGTGGGACATTACAACCAAGAGGACGCAGGGTTGGAGGTGCACCAGTTTTACCCTCTTGTAAAGGTACAGTGTTCGCCGGAGTTGAAATTCTTTCTTTGCTCCATGTATGCGCCTGTGTGTACAGTTCTGGAGAAGGCCATTCCTCCCTGCAGATCAATCTGTGAGAGAGCAAAGCAGGGCTGTGAGGCTCTTATGAACAAGTTTGGCTTTCAGTGGCCGGACCGACTGCGCTGCGAAAACTTCCCTGTGCTAGGAGACGGACAAATCTGTGTGGGCCAAAACGATTCCTCTGCAGCAACCGTCCCCCCCATCGTGGCTGTGCCAGGGCCCCAGGATGTCCCTATGGTCCCCACACTTGAGAGGCCTTTCCGTTGCCCTCCTGTGCTCAGGGTACCCCCATATTTGAATTACAGATTCTTGGAGGAGAAGGATTGTGCAGCACCTTGTGAGCCATCAAGGAGTGGTGGGAGTATGTTTTTTAGTGACAAAGAGATCCATTTCTCCCGCATATGGATTCTGATCTGGTCTGTGCTTTGTTGTGCCTCGACTTTATTTACAGTAACCACTTATTTAGTGGACATGCAGCGCTTTAGATACCCAGAGCGGCCCATCATCTTCCTGTCTGGCTGCTACACTATGGTGTCCATAGCCTACATAGCTGGATACTTCCTGGGAGACAAAGTGGTTTGCAACGAAAGCTTCAGCCCTGAAAACTACAAAACCATCGTACAAGGTACAAAAAAAGAAGGCTGCACCATCCTCTTTATGATGCTCTATTTCTTCAGTATGGCCAGCTCTATTTGGTGGGTCATCCTGTCCCTCACCTGGTTCCTGGCTGCAGGTATGAAGTGGGGGCATGAGGCTATCGAAGCCAACTCTCAATATTTTCACCTGGCAGCCTGGGCAGTACCGGCAGTCAAGACCATCAGCATCTTGGCCATCGGGCAGATTGAGGGCGATGTACTCAGTGGTGTATGCTTTGTCAGCCTCAGCAACCTGGACCCCTTACGAGGCTTTGTGTTGGCCCCTCTCTTCATTTACCTCTTCATTGGAACCTCATTCCTCCTGGCTGGATTTGTTTCACTTTTCCGAATCCGCACTATCATGAAGCACGATGGTACCAAGACGGAGAAGCTGGAGCGCCTGATGGTGCGGATTGGTGTGTTCAGCGTGCTATACACTGTCCCTGCCACCATTGTGATCGCCTGCTTCTTCTACGAGCAGGCCTTCCGCCCACACTGGGAGCGGAGCTGGGTCAGCCATAACTGCAGGGGCCTAGCCATCCCCTGCCCTCTGCAGACCGGGCCCCGGATGACCCCAGACTTCACCGTGTACATGATCAAGTACCTAATGACTCTGATAGTTGGTATTACCTCTGGTTTCTGGATCTGGTCCGGGAAGACTCTACATTCCTGGCATAAGTTCTACACAAGACTGACAAATGGTAAACAAGGAGAGACCACAGTGTAGATTGAAGGGGTGTCTGAATATTGCCTGGACTTCTTTGTGTATTATTACCTGTTTCTCATGTGATTGGTAAGTAGCTCTAGGCTCTGAAAGCATTTTGTATTCTCCTCAGCTTTATAGCCTCACATGCATGCCAAGCTGAGGGTCAGGCTTTGACAGAAGGACAAGCTGGATAAACAAAGACTAAACCTGACTGTCTGAACAAATAACAAGCATGGCTACGGATGCCATGTGCTGAAATGTTCTCCTCCCCCTCTCTGGCTTTTTTTTTCTTAAAGCCACTCTGAAAAACTAAGAGAGGGACGATCCAGTGGCCAAGAGTGGACAGACGAGATTCAGACGAATAAAATGTTTATTCTGGATAACATTTCATGATGTAAATAGCCCTTGTAAAAACATGAAGTTATATATTTGTATTTAAAAAAGTACTTCTTCTTATATATGCCAGTGTACCTGCTTTAATTTTGCACTGTAAGAATGCCACAAAAAGATGTCCTTTTTGTTTGTTTTTTTAATGAATTTCTGGTTATAAATAACATCTTTATGGATTATAAATTGTCTGTTTGATAACATCTAAGATCCTTTTTTTATTGCCCTGGTACCAAGCATGCCAACTCTGCAGAACTTGCGATAAGAGACTATAAATCAAATACTTAAAGTTTCAGGATAGTATTGTGTTTTATCTACAAATCTAGCCTTTTTTTCTTAATATATGGATTAATATTCTGTTTAGATAAGGTGCAAATATGAAGTTATTTCTTTGGATAAAGGAGCAGCCATGATGTTTTCTCAAAGGGTTAATCAATGTGTCACACCTGAACATCTGCTGCCTCAGACTGGCAGGCAACTGTGAACACTGTTGGAATTCTAAATGGAAATTCACTTCTTACCCAAAACTAAAGCACTGCTGGAAACAAAAGGAAATAGTTTATGTTAAGGCACACCTTTCGCGTGTTTTACTTTTCACCAAGCTTGTCAGCGTATTCTGAGATATTTCACATCTGTATGTTTTAAGTTAAAGAATCTGGTGCCAGCCTGTGAGAATGCATCCGAGGGCATCCTAACACATCTGCTGGAACATCGCCTTCAAGTGCTAAAAAAAACAAGAGACCTTTCGTCTTCTCTTGTTGCAGAGAGGGTTTGGTTAAACCAACAGGAATGGATGTGCTGAGAGGAGCAGTGTTGGAGCATAGGTGTGAAAATGTTCTTGCTTGCCTGTTTGGTGAGGGGAAAACAAGGGTGTTAAACTCCTCTGAAGCCACAGTGCTTCCTGCCAAGCTGGAATCCCCCAAACCACGCATGGCTGAAACTCAACCTTGTCTGCGGTGATGTCATCAAGTAGATGGGTGTGCCGGAGAAAGTTGATCCTCTCGCTTTGGGGCTGAGGCTTCGGGCTAGAAACAGACCCTGGAGAATTGCATGCTTTCACAGTCTTATGGAGGTTAAATCACTGCAGTAGATTTTGAGGTTATAGCTTACAGTTGAGTCACTAACATGAAAAGATCCTCATGTTTTATGTCTCATAAACTTTTGGAAAAGTTCAAGTTTTTCTCAAATCTTGGGTTAAGTAAAGAAAAAAATGCAACAACAGGTTGGAGTGATTAAGGTAGAAACAGATACTCGGGGGAAGAAAACATAAATCCTCTCTCCAACTCCCCCCCGCCTCTATCCTCCTCCCTGCTCCGTGCTCAGTCGAATGGGGGGAATGCGGGTGAGTCAGTGGAGTGGCGCTGGGCTTTTGCCTAGTGACAGACAGTCTCCTGTGTGCTGCTCACTTCAAAGCGCCGCTGAAACCTGACTAGCTCCTTGTAAACAGTGCCGCCTGGCCCGAAGGCCCACTTCCTGCGCTTAACTCGACTTAATGGTTGGCTTGTTTGGCTTTGCACTGAAGCAGAGAAGCGAATGAAGAGTAAGAGGATGAAGAGAAGCAGCATGGGGTGGGGTGCGGGTGGTAAAGGGAGTGAGATTGTTTTAGGGTCTGGGGGAGGAGGGGTTTGGAGAGTACGATGGAAAATTCAGTTTTATTCAGTTGCTTTTGTCTTCTTCCAAGAGAAAACAACAAAGAGGAAGACAAAGGAGAAATGAGGGGAGACATGACTGATTTTGTGAATATTTCAACTAAAAGTTTGGATCACAGATTGTTGAAACTAAACAGAATCAGATGTTGTGCATTTAACTCCTGCCAGGAAAAGAAGGCTTTCACAATGTAATCTTTTCCCATTAAATCTTGATGTGTGTTGCTGCTCGACCCATCTGGAGAAGTTTACTTTAACTTTACCTCTTCACACGCAGAGTACTATCAACAAATGCCAGTTAGATTTACAACTTTGACATCTCCACTGCATCAAAGTGTTGAGATGAACTGTGTAGGGGGTGGTAGCTTTCTAATGAATGCGCCTTTCTTTAAAGTTGGTGCCCAGTTTTGTGGAGGCAGCTGTCTTCCATGTTGTTGATCTCAGATCTTAAATCTCGCATGCAGCCATTTCCTGGTTGCTTGAAGGCAAGAAAGGACAAGCCAGGGATCGGGGGTAAGACAGGAAGAATGCTCCTCCGGTTGATAGTATGATGTCGCTCTTATTAGAAAGAGGCCTTGGCATGTCAGAGAAGGATCATGTTGTTAGTCACAAGCGCCAGAGTTCTCCCTGTTACCAAGGAGTCATTGTTTGAGTTTGTATAAATGTACCATTATGTTCTTCAGCTCTATAAGAATCATGTCAGGCCTATGAAGAAGCCTAAAAACAGACAAAGGAAATCAGGAAAGGAGAAAAATGGGGGAAAAGAGAGGGAAAAAAAACTACTCAGACATGTAGAGAGCCTGTTTCCAATCAAATCTTGGCACGCAGTCAAGAAGAACTCATACTCTGAAGGCTAACTCTAGATTAGTTGCAGTCATATATTATCCTAACCGTAGGAGAACAGCGGAGACTTTCCAGAGCTCGTACTTTATCTATCTTTTTAGCCCTTGCTACGAATCTCAACAGGAAGTGCAATATGTTCTTTCTCCTCCCATCGTTGCTTTCCGAGGCACAAGCTGTGAGTGGGATGGAGTGTAACAAGTTGGCAGGAGACTGAATGTGCATTTCAGTCTCTGCCTTTGATTCAGGGCCTGCAGCCATAAATTCTGCTGCTGACAGTCTCCATGAGGTGTCCGGTTCCTTACATTTATCTTCTGCCCACTGTAGTACTTTTTTTTGCTCATTCATAACTCTGTTTTTCACTGAAAAATACATGATAAGTTTGGTAAAACTTTAGACTAAGCTTTAGCATTAGAATGTGTGAGAGATTCGAAAAGAAAGTATCTTAGTATTTTTTTTTCCGCTTTATCTTAAATGTGTCATTTAACCTTTTAACATGCTGAACAAGACGTCCAGATGTTCTCAAATCACTTAACACTGACTCATATCAACATGTGGGCCGTCTCTTTGCAATATGGGACACTGAACAGAGGAATTCTGCCAACAAAGCTTCCTCATCTCACATTCTTGGTGGCTCACTCTCACACCCCATGCTTACCATTTGTCTGGAATTTTATTGCTCACAAGTGCAAAGACTATCACTATAAGATGGCTTTTACAAATAAACAGCTCAACCAACTGCTAAAAATCTACTGCAATGTCAAAGGAGTCTCTCTCTCCGTTTTCTTTTTTTTCTCCCGGTGTTGTGTAGTGTGCTTGGTATCGGTGCAGAAAGTGAGGGGGCGCCTCAGAGGCTCTCCAGCTGCCGAGCAGAGAGGTGCCGACAGCTGCGTGACAGATATTTTGGGAGCCTGCATGCAGCACGCCTGGGATAATAATGGGCTTGATTGGGAGGGAAGAGGGATGGTTAATGTGCAGTCAGACACCACTGTGTTTAGACAATCATGCCACTGTCGTAAACTTTCAGGGTGACGGTGCAAGTAGCAAAAGATAACAGGGGGACGGGTAGATTGTCAAATGTTTCTCAGCTACCGGCTAAAGTTCTCTAATTTATCATGGTTTGGTACACTTATTGAAATTTGATGCAGATTTAAAGCCAAGCAGTCATGGGAAAGACAAGTGTTGACATGCTCAAGTTTTATTGTCAAGGAGGGTAGATGATGTAAAAAGGGGTCAGGTACAACAATAAAGGTGCTTGTTAGGCCTAAAGAATAGCTCACATTTTAGCATGAGTACACTGAGTGCCTACAGCAGTCTTTTTACGGTATTGTGTTTCAATGGTCCATGACACTTGGAATTAATCCATTGACTACATTTACACAAAAACACCAGAAAATGATTTTTATAAAGACTTATCTGATCTGCTTAGCCAGAGGCAGGACATGGAAGATCATATAAACTCAAAACAACAGCAAACAACAGGTTAAAAAATTGAGTATAGACAGGCAAAGTAGCAGCAGTGCTTCATGTTTGCTTGTAAATGCAGCATAGAGGCTCGCCAAGCACCTGCATCTCCAGGTAAACAGGAGTGTTAAACAGAGAAAGGCAGCAGTAATCCAGACTGAGGCTATAGCCAGTCTCTGGTGGGCCTCAATAAGGCCTCAGGCTTCCTTGATGACTTATTGAGTCGGCTCCTCTCTGGCGAGCACAGGCCCCCAACCTCCCTTTTTGTAATGGAGGCGCTCTTAACAGCTCTTTCTGAGGAATTTACAACCCTGGCCCCGTCCCTCTCAGTCCAAGAGGGAAGGCACACTGCAGCCTTGTCCCAGCACAGCCAGAAGTGGAAATGTACAGCTTCAGGCAAGGTGGCGGTAGAGCTCCTGTGTGAGTGTGTTTTAGAGCCCATCTATCTCTATATGTCTGCGTGTGTCTGCATGTGTGTGTGTTTTCTTGGCGTCACATGCTTCTGTGCTTGTGTGCGTGTGTGTAAACCTAAGTGAGTAAGTGAGTGGTTAAAGGAGGGCTCCAGCTCTGTAGGTTTTCTCTGTAATTTCACTCTCTGCACGGCATAATCGCTTCCATGTGGACCCGCACCAACAACAGAGTGGTGGAGGGCCTCATTACAAAGGTGGGAGTTATTCACATGCACACATACAGGCTCTCAAATGCCCCCTCTGATGGAAAAGGACTATCAAGCCTGTTCTGCACTGTAACCATTACAAAACGATGCTTTTTAACATTTAAATTTCAGTTACTCCAACCTTTTTTTGGGGGCGGGGTAAATAAAACACTACAGGGCTATTCTGACATCGACTGTAAGTTTAGTACATGCAGCAAAGCAGAGATCAAATCTTTGGACTTAATTTGTGAAATAGCAGGAAGTCCTGTTTGCTTTATGCTCAGTGGTCATCTCCAAGAGAGATATAGTATGTGGGAAGATTTTTTTTGCTCCCACCACACACATTGAGCTGTGGGCCTGGAGCGCCCAAAGGACTGCTGCTGGGCCAGACAGTCACGGTCAATGTGTGAAACCAGCAGAGCGAAAAACTACAGCAGGGTCAGAGAATTTAAAGACACCTCTCCTGTTTTAACTTCAGGCAAGACAAATTATAAGTTACTAGAGCTTCTGATGCAAGAAGTCATTAAATGTAAAAACACAGGCAAGTGTGACATGGTTTAAGCAGAGGCTGAACTCTAAAATCAACATTTGGAGTTTCTTCCAGGGATCTGCTGACAGGAAAGCTAATGTTAAACTGGTGAACAACACCCCCTGCTGTTTTGTGTGCTGAACAAAAATGATAAAAAACAAGAAACTTCACCCTCAGCAATATACACATTTAGGGTGTGTCCTGTTACTTGACACGGTGCATAAGTAAGACAGTAGATTTCTATTTCTAAAGAGGTTTTTTAGGAGAATGACATCTTCTTCAGTGGGAACAGTGAGCAGTATTGGCCAGCAGGCTGAAGCAGGCCACACAGCAGCTTTGGCTTTTCAGAGCTACAGCCGGAGGCGATTTATGACTGTTTGTCCTGCCAGTCTGGGAGCTGCTGAGGGTGATGTCAGGGGTCACTGCTCAGCTTAAGTGCTTCATTTTTCACAGTGCCTTGGAAGCTTCACTATGTTGTGCTCAAATCATGAATGTCTAAGTCTATAATATGTAGACACTTTTCAATAGGCAGTGAGGAGTAGTTCTGAGTTTTCTAACTGAGGTGAAAGTAGAAATGCAGTTCTTCAACCATGCTTACACTTTTATTAAAAAAGCTTTGAGTTTGGAAAGTATGAGCGCTTAGGTAGAGTTGTAATATTGGTACACTGATGTAAAAATAATACTTTTATGTTGCAGCAGTTGGAGATGGAGACAATCTTTACTTTAACACAAACTGTGATTTCTCCAGCTGGTGGGCCTCGACATCTGTTCTCTCATTGACAGCTGATGATGGCAGGTTATTAGGCTAATCAGCTGTCTGGTTGTAAATTCAGATGTGCTATAATTAAATATATAATTTATCTAAGGCTGATACTTTGAATTCCAGTGGTCTATCAGTAAAAAAAATAAATAAATAAATAAAATACCTTTGCTTTGCCATAAGGTGGTGTCATAGTTGCATTATGGGTTTTTATCCAATACGTTAGGCATTTTTAATTTTGCCAAACATACAAAAGAGGATTAGATTAAAGTCGAAATTTAAAAACGCTGAAATTTCGACTTTATTCATGTTGACTTTAATCTAGAAATTTTGACTTAAATCTCAAAATTAAATTTCTGTAAATTTTTTGTAAATTTTTTGACATTTTGTAATCTCAAAATATCACCGTTAATCTCGACATTTCAATTTTTAATCTTGAAATTTTGACTTTATTGATATAGTTTCTTTTTTTTCTTCACCCCATAATTGGCTACATGAGATTGCATGAATGTAAAAAATGTAATGTGTGCAATTTTTTTTACTATTCACTATTTACATCATCAGTATTAATCAAAAGCTTTAAAGAAGTAAAACAGATCATAACTGTTCATCATAATTAGCAGTTTACTCCTTCAGATGGCCTCTAGATGGTGCCAGAGCCCCTCTTTCTTAGAGATGGCATCCACAGCTGGAGGAAATGTAATTAATCTGATCAAACAGGCTTTATGATCATCATTGGCATGTAATGACTGTCAAGAACCTTGTTTAACCCTCTGACTGCTTTCTAATTTCTTGTATTTGACTCCATACTTTTTTTCTGGCCTAACCCAACCCGACTGTCACACTTTATTAGACCCACATGTAGATGCAGGTTCTGCAAAAAGCAAGAAGAAAAAGAGAGATATCCAGAGGGCAATGGATAAGCTACTCAAACAGGTTTGTGTAAATGCATGTCATCAGACATCAGGTATGCGATTAGTATAGGAACTAATGGAGACTTTTGTACGTGCATTCAAGATAAAACATATATTTTTGACTTGTGTATTTTTTTTAATTGCTGTCTTTTTTGTATTCATGTTCACTAGCTAGATTGTATGTGATGCTGCAAAAACAGACATAAGTTATTCTACAGGTTACTTATTTGCCCCATTTTGTCATTGTTATTCCATGTCTGAATACTTTTTAAAATTGATATTATATGTGATGCTTTGTGATTTTAAATATTTTTAAGCATGATTTTTGCAAAACTCTTCAAAAGCAGCAACTTCAGCAAGCAACCAACTTTTTTTCACCTCTTGCATTCAATTCTATTTTTTGTTACCATATAAATACTCATTTGTCTTTTGCATTTCACTGTTTAGTCTTTATTCTGACTCACATCTCATTAGTTTCAATTTAGAAACCCTTCACAGATTCCTATCCACTGACTGGATTCTTCCCTGACTCTGCAGTGTCTATCTCCAGTCTACATCTGTGCGTTTAATTGAAGAGTCATGGCCTCTCGCTCTGGAAAGATAGAGAGCCTTTTCAGTTTATCACTGCAATCATTTACAGAAAGAGCAGACTAAACTACCTGCATGCATACCATGAACTGGTGAAAGCTGCAGCATGTAGTGTAGAGGAGAGAGGTGGATTAATGGGGCAGTCAGCGTGTCTCCCTCCTGCTTCTTGACTCTATTGTGTGCAGTAAGTGGCCCAGTATCTAAATGACATTAATTATGCCCAGGCCTCTGTGGGAGAACTGCAGTATTATCACTCTGTTTCCTCCTAATGAGCAGCTCTGCTAACTTTCTCTGCGTGTGTTTTCTTTTTCCCTGGAAGCCGTCACTTCTTATTTAAAGCTTCAGGCCAGACCTTATTAGATGCAGTGTCTATCATGATGTGCAACAAGTATGGAATGCTGACATGTTTTTTTGTGCGTGTGCTGTTACGCCAATACCACAACAATCTCCAGCGTTAATCCACTGACAACATCACAATCAGATCCCTTTTCTGAATCACTCACAGTGTGTGCTAATAATAATATTTGACAAATTATCTGATAACTCATCTGTCAGCCTCATCTCTGCAGAATGAGCTTGAGGTCATGAGGTAATCCATAAAAGGGCCTGGATGGTGTCCATCTCCAACAAAGTAAAACGGTCTTATCTGAACTTTTATGCATGTTTGCTTACATTTTAGCAGAAGATAAGGATTTTAGTGAATTCCAATGGTTTCATCCCATCTCTGAGTTCATTCTAACCCAGAACAAAGTGGAAAAAAAGAAAGAATGAGAAATTTAGCAACAACTGCTCATGTTTCACAGCTCTACTGAAACCACTTCTGCTTCAAATATCGCTAACACAACAAATCTGACACATGCATATAGACAGTGCGCAGCATAAATGAGTGCATCCCTGCAGTTTTGTCAGAAAACCTTTGGTTTCCTTTCAAAATCAACATTTTCTATATCAGACGATACAACAAAATACTCCCACAAATGTAGGCCATTGATTGTAAACAAGATTTTTTAAGTTGCACACATTTTTATTTTATTTTTTAATCAGGATGCAAAAATGAGTACACCCCGATCAAAGTTCTGGGAGCAAAGCTAAATTTTAGTTACCATGTCACCTTTATTTTCATCTTATGGTAAATAAAATGTTATGTTAAACTCAGCTTTGTCAAAACTTTGGAAATTGTACTTTTTCTCCTTTAGATATTGAGTAAAACATCACATTTAATAGGGGGAACACACTGACTTATGCTGGGCGCTGTACATCTATACCAAAAAACATCCTTACAATGTTGTCACTGTGTGTGCAGCCATTTGGCAAATGTTTGATTTGAGAATTCTTCCCTCACAGAAACTAAAACAAGCCCTTGGTAGAGCTTTTCTGTGCGATCACTGAAGTGGAATTGAGGAAGCTGATGTGAGTGGAGAGAAAAGAGATGTTATAATCACCTCAGTGGGCTTCTGCTGTGCTTACCGAGGGGGATCACGGCAGGTTAGTACACTTTTGTTCCCTGTATCCCATTATAATAAAAACACATTGATTTACTGCACTAATGGTCTAAACAATTTATGTTAGATACTAGAACAACAGTGGGCCACTCCTGGGACATCTCCGGTTACCATAGCAGCACATGGCATTGCCCAAGTGACGCTGTTACCCTGGAAACGGCCACCTTGTGTGCCTAAGATATACTGTCAACAGGTCAGGGTTCAGACATAAAGCAACATGGACTTTATGAGCCTGTTGTTAACAATCACAGCTTCGGAGGTACAGGTGTTGCAGGAGTCTCTGGCATCACAAAGTTCACTTGTAGCATTGATAAGTAAGAGGGCAAACAGTAAAATCGATACGCTGTGGCACATTCGACAAACAGCACACAAAATGACCTTTGGCTGGGTGGAAAGATAAGCTTATTCTTTCTTTTCCTTTCTGTATTACCTTGTTTGTCTGTGTATTAGACATGGTAATAAAGGTGAGGTTTAAGTAGTGGGAGGACGTTACAAAAAGATAAAGAAAGTGCTGCTCTGCCTGAGAAAGCCAGAGTAAAAAAGCTGAAAGATTTGTCTTGGAGGTGGAGTCAGTGTCGATCAGGGGAGGGTGAGAAAAGAAAGCTTTGAACATGTGCAGAGCAGTGTGAGGACACAGCTTCAGAGCTGAGAGAGACTGAGAAAGGGTGACAGAGGAGTTTTTTTACAGAGAGGCTGCTGAAGCACAAGGCTGTGACACAAAAAGGAAGTGAGATAACAAGCTTAGGAAATGACAGTGTGAATTATTTGTTGTCACTCTGCTCAGAATACAGGGAGGCCTGAAAACAGAAATGAATGGCGATGGCAGCAAACAGCGATATGTGTCAACCTTCAAGATACAGATCAAGCCACCCTGCGCAGCACCTGCACTGGCAAAGGAGCTGCAATGTAATGATACCAGGACATCAGACAAGTCATCTTGCACAGGTAAGAGCAGAATTAAGCAGAGGGAGAGAAAGGATTAATAATTTAGGTGGGTGTGTTTGTGTTTGACAGAGCTTAGCCTGGTAGTATTTCTCATGTTTTCACTGTCAGCATTTCAAAAGACATGTCTGAACATGGTGATTACTCATGATAACACCACTAAAACACATTGAAATCGTTTGGTATAAATGCAGAAGAGTTAGATCAGATCAAACAGTGCAGGAGCTTGAAGTTAAGTTCCAGTTATGTTTTTTAGAGCTTTGACCTTGAAATATCGGCTCTGATATATCTGATAAAGTGCTCTTCTATTTTTTACACCTTTTCAGCTAAAATAAAATAAAAAGTTTTAGGGGTTGAGCCAAATGACCCTCCATATAAACCCCCACTCCCACCCTGCTGCATTGTGCTCCTGTTTTTACTGTTTTTACTATTTATTATGTGTAAATAAGAACATATATCTTTTATACATACTTTTATTTATTGTTTTTTATTCCACTACCACTCTACCTCCAGGAAGTGCAATATTACTCACCATGCTGCTATTTTACCCTTAGTTTTTATTGTTTCAATTTTTTTCTGTACATGAAATTAAACACCATCATGCTCTGATATGGAAGCCAAGCTACGACATTTCATTGCAGAGAGAAATCACTTTTTATTCTGTGCAATGACAAATAAAGAAAGTCTAAGTCTAAGTCTAAACATTTTTAAAGAGTATGTTTAAAATCCTAAAACAGCTTTGTTCTGTTTTTTTTTTTTTTTTTTTTGAAGGTCAGCAGAACAAGGACTTTAGCCCCTTTCACAGCATCTTTACAATGTCAGGAAGTGATACAAACAGCCTTGAGCTGACTTCACCGCAGTTTCGTTTTTGACCACATTACGGTTTCAAAGCAGATCTGTCTACAATCTCACAGTTCTGCTTGAAAGTAGACCAAAGGGTCGTAAAGTCGTGACAGGTGTGAAAACCTCCCTCTGAGTCTGTATGACCCAAAAGGGTTCACTTCAAAGACCCATTCAGTGACTGTTCCCGCAGACTGTCAGTGGATGAAAATAAGTATGAAAATAAAGTTGTATGTCTCATTACCATATCCTGTAAATGCTTCGTCATCGCACAACAAACTCAAACACATATGTTGTTTTTTTTCACACGTTTGGGTGAGACACCAGACATCCTTTGACGAGCCACTAGTCTGTGATGATATGTGATAGTGTTGGTGATACCACTCGGTGTCAGCCTGCAGACCTGATAATGTGCTTTTGATCCACAAGACTTTGCTGAATCAGGGGGAGCGCAGGAAAAACCTCCCCCGTGCCACAAGCAAGGATTTTAGTCAAATTAATGAAAGGCTTCTCCCTGTTAAAAAACAAAATACCACAGTCCAGTAATCCTGAGCTGTAAAACTAGCAGCAGAGCAGACTCTCCTCGCTTGAAAGAACAGACCAGTGGTTAAGTATGGGATGTAATGTAAAGCAGGTGATGTGATACATTCCTTCCCTCATTCCACACCTCTCCTCCAAATCCAGGGCCACCCACACCCTCCTCGTGTGAAGACCTCTATCCACCAGTCTTCATAGAGACCCTGAAGGACTGCTGTGTGGACGAAGGAAATGACATCACCCTGCGGGGGGTTATCAGCGGAAGTCAGCCTATCAAAGTGTCCTGGCTGCACAATGGTGAGCAAGGTCAAGTTATACAGCTAAATCTCCATCTGCGCTTCCTGAAGCGGTGGCATGCCTCTCTTCGCTTCTTCTACCACTGGTGTACTGGTTGCACTGGGTTATAGAATGCAGCTTACTTTTTAGAGGACAACATTTTATGGTAATGAGAAGTAACTTGAATGTAAAAACCTTGCTTGAGAGAAATTTCTTTGATGTGTATTTTCAATTCAAATTTTGACCCATACCGCCATATTAAAATGGAGGAAAGGGGACTTAAGTATGGTGACCATACTCTGAATCCCCCAAAAGAGGACACGACTACATGGGGGCAGAGCCATGAAGTTGCGTGTAGTTAATTTTGAGAGTTATTCAGGTCAGATCTAGAGTCTTTTGTGCACTTCTAAGTCAGTAAGTCCACACGACACAAAATTGAAACTTTCATACAAAACTCTGGACATTGGAAGGATTTTATAAACTTCCCCAGACAAGGCCGGACAGCGCCCAAATAAGAGGACATGTCTGGGTAAAAGAGGACGTATGGTCACCCTAACTTTAGGATCTTCACTACTGCCTTCAGGTTCACTTTTTGGAAGCTATCAGGTTGTCCATCTTGAACACAGTGATACCTGTTTTGTTCGGCCTTTACATCAAATTGAAATATTCTTTATGTTGTTTGCATAACTTTTAGCGACACTTGATATAACATTCATTATAATTCAAGTCATTCCCTGTTGTTGCCTTTTCAATTTCTCCTCAACCAATGGTTCACTGGTATTTATCTCTTCGTTCCTCACTTATTTCCCTGTAAACTACTTTGTATTTTGTGCATGTTTTTGTTTCCTGATCTTATGCAGCTGTCTAACCTCTGCCTGACATTTGTTTTAACTTGAATTGCTTGTGTAAAGCATTTAAAATGACATATCTGCTGCCGAGTTTAAAAGGTCAGCAGCAGCTTATCTCTCGTCCTACACTCCTTCCTTCCTCACGTGCTTTCTCTTCATGGCTGTTTGCTCCTATGGGCAGGTGAAGTAGCCCGTTATGGGAAACCTTCCTTCAATGGCAGGGAGATGACTTTTATGGTCAGGGAGTGCTTACCTGAAGATGCTGGTGCCTACACTTGCCTTGCAGAAAACAGCTCAGGGAAGACCTCCTGCTGTGCTGCTGTGTTTGTTAAAGGTGAACAACTTTCTGGACCTTTGGGCTCTGCCTCTTGCAAAATTTAAGTTTATCCTATCAGTAACTTTAATCGCAAGAAAAAGTTCGCCAAAGTTTCATTTCTGCTGCGTGTTTTCCTTTTCCTCTTTCTATTAACCAATCCAGATTTTGAAACCATCCACGGTGAACAGAACTATCTCTCAAAGGAACCAACTTCTGCATCCAAGAGCATAACACAGAACGGAGGGCCACCATGCTCCTCCACAGGATCTATTTGTGTGTCCCCTACAGGCTCTGACAAGCTCAGCCCAGTTGCATGCCCAAAAGGTAAACATATACATTTATTTCACATTGATGGTTTCATTTCTCTGTAGCATTTAAGAGTTGATATGTTGAGTTACACAAGTCAGTTTTCTCCTTGCAATGTTGAGATGCACCAGGAAAATAACTGGGCCTCTGTGCAGCTGATTTAACCTCCTTCACTAATCCATGTCACATGTGAACTGAGAAGGAAGCGCATCATTTCCAGTCTTCATATGATTGGCTCTCAGGCAACTTTTGTATCAGTCAGGAAATATAGACTTCCACAACAATACAGCTTTTAGTTACATCCTCTTGAGGTTCTCAGTCCCAAGAGAACTCCATGTAGGGTAGCGGACAGTGCACATTAGAGAAGGGCCACACCTCTATTCAACCCTACTAAAAGGCTACCTGTATTTTGTATGTTTGTGCAGAAGTCATACCAAAGAAGAGAGCCAGCTCAGCGACAGGTAAGACATGCACACACTCATTCACACATGAGACACAAGAACTCCTTTCCTTCCGTTTTCACCAAATGATAAACCAGCACACTCATCTCTATATCATCCACTCACACCTACTTATTGTGTAAATAAGTATCAGTATATTTCAGTGTGGGACAATAATGTGTTTGTGAGGCTTTTGTACATCCTAAAATGTTCCCATGAGCTTCTTAACCTTAGGGTGAGGGGTGCCACAAAAAAAAAGAAAAAAAAAATTAAACAGTGAAGGTCAAATGTCTGTTATGTAAGCTCTGAGTTGTTGTTTTTTTATTTGAGGAGTTTTGCTAAACATAATTTTTTTCATAACTTAGCAATAGACAGTTTGTTAAAGAAGCTAACTCTTAATAATTCCGGTATTCTTTTATCAGATTGTTTTCATTCAAATTCACCATCCTGATGCCAAATTATTTGCATATAGACAGTGTGAGAGGTGCTACTAACTCTAGTGCTCATATATGGAGTTTTCGAGGTTTATGTAAAGTGCAGGAACATCAGTCAACTATAAGATAAAGCGGACTGAAGTATGTTTGCTTGCTTTAAAGATTACTGTCAGAGTAAACAGCTGTGCATGTTTGGAGCATGGAAATGGGATGTGAGCTGTCTTCAAATAACATATGAACTAGATTAACAATGTTTAGCTTGCATGATTACACAAGGACTGGTTATATGTCACCTGTGTTTTGCACTTGTTTCAACTTGAGACACTGGGTCTGCTGTGTTGCATGCTACAATAATAAGGGTCTCGAGGGGAGTGACACAATTCCAGTTTAACAGCCCGGCAGCAAAAACCACACATCGCATGATCTCATCTTAGCACCAAACATTTTCTGTTTTCCCGTCTTTATCTTATACTCACACAGTTCTCTGGAGAGTCTCCTACAATGAGCTGACAGACTCGGAGTCAAAACACTAACTTTGTTTTGTCTTTACAGGAACACCGTTACACTTCGTAAACCCTCCACAGCACGTCAACGCAGAGGTGGGACAAGCTCTCAGGGTGTCGTGTTTTTTCAGCGGCAGCCCTCCTGTAGTGTCATGTTGGATTAGGAACAAAGAACAGGTGCTGCTGCCACTTTGAGGCTGGTTTACAACATATCCACTTTCTGACACTGCAGTTGGCTCTCTGTGTCTAACTTCCTTTCTCTGTTCTTTAAATTTGCAGGTCATAGATGGTCCAGAGTGGTGGGTAGAAAACACCGATCAGAGCAGCACACTTGTAATAGAAAAGGCTAAACCACAGCATACTGGTCGATACACAGTGGTGGTGAAGGACCGCAAAAGCTCGGCTCAACATATATTCACCCTATCTGTTGTGGGTAAGACAACACACAGGTTACAGGATATTTTTATGGGGCAATGAGATGCAAATGAAACACTGCATATCCGGACATATATGTAGGGCTTGTTTCTGTTTATGTGGCTGTTTTGGAAAACTTGTTGCATCATGTTCCAGTGTTTTTGGGGTTGTTGTATATCTGATTTCTTCTGTTCAATTTTTGGGGGTAATATCTCTTTATTGTCACTGTATTTTTCTAGTTTCTCCAACACTCTGTTCTTAATCCATCATCCCTCCAGAGAGGCCACAGCCTCCTGCCTCCTGCCCTGTGATTTCCCTCACCTCCGCCACCAGCCTTGTGCTGTCTTGGTCAGGCCCCTGCTACGACGGCGGTAGCGCTGTCCTGGGTTATGTGGTCGAGGTAAAAAAACAAGGACGCAAGGACTGGAGGGAGCTAACAGCACAGTGTACAAGTACATCATATAGAGTTGGCTCTGAGCTGCAGCCTGAACAGGAATACAGTTTTAGAGTGAGGGCCTACAACACAGTTGGAGTAAGTGAGCCTGGACCAGAGTCACCAGCTGTAAGGATGGAGCAGAAAGGTGAGCTGGAATCAAATTTTGATCCTTTTTATTCTTATTTTGGAGCTGACTCTTAATCAACTTCTGTGTCTTTTTGTCAAGATTTAGCCAAATCTAAAGAAGAGGAGCCCCCTCAAGAGTATACATCTGTCACTATTGATTCTACTCATAAAGTTACAGATCACTACAACTTGCTTGAAAAACTGGGCATGTGAGTATCAGTCAGGACCAAACTCCATTTTCACAAACATATTTTTAGGATCATGTAAGCACTTTCTTTAGAAATCCAGATGAACAAGTAAACTTGACACTTTGAGGCAAAGTCCGGAGGCGAGTCACACGAAAAAGTGGGCTGTCCTGCCGGGTTCCTGCCAAGTGCAACAGAGTAGGGATTTGAATACAAGCGTGTAGAGACATGGTTCCACTGTAGAACACAACAGATGTACAGTGATCAAATTTAAGGTCACCATAAGTCAGAGGCACAACATGCAAAGCGTTGACGGATGAGTATCAAAGGCCTTCGATATAAGCCCTGTTCACCTGGCATAACATAAATATTCCAGAGACAAAAATGACAAAACGTGTCTTTGTTTACTCAGGGGAAAATTCGGCCTGGTGTTTAAGCTAACCCACAAAGAAACTGGACGTGTGTGTGCGGGCAAGTTCTACAAGGGCAGACGTGCAAAAGAGAGGGAGGCTGCTCGCAAAGAGATCGAGCTAATGAATGACCTCCACCACCCCAAACTGGTCCATTGCCTTGCTGCATACGACCACAAGCCTGAGATGGTCATGGTCATGGAGTTGTGAGTATTACTATGAAAAAGCCTCATGTGGCTGAGTTCTCATTTTATACCAGGAGGTCCAACGACAGGAACTGTTTTTATGCAGCATTGCAGGTGGAGAGCTTTTTGAGCGCATTGTGGATGATAACTTTGAGCACACAGAGCCAACCAGTGCACACTACATGCAGCAGATCCTAGAGGGGATTGCTTACATGCACCAGCAGAAGATTGTCCACCTGGATCTGAAACCTGAAAACATAGTGTGTGTTGACACCACTGGAACCTCCATAAAGATCATCGACTTTGGATTAGCCAGCAAGATTGGTATGTGACATGAAACTCTGCAAATATAAACTTGTCGGTTTGACTTATGCTTCAACTCCAGATTACAAAACTCTGTGATTTATCTTGAACAGATGGGCAGACACCTCTTAAGGTGATGCATGGGACTCCAGAGTTTGTGGCACCTGAGGTGATCAGCTATGAGCCTGTTGGTCTGGCCACTGACATGTGGAGTATTGGGGTCATCTGCTACATATTGTAAGTCCCATTTCACCCTTAAAAACCTTTCTACCTCGGTGGAGATATGAGGCACTTTAAGAAAAATGCTTTCCTGCAGATACTTTGATTATCACACGAGGTAGCTGCTAAAATAACTTAAGCACAACCAGGCAAAGTTAAGCTAGCCTTGTCCAAAGGTAACAAAACGGACATATCTTCATCCTCAAAGCTGTTGCTTAAGTTTATAGGAGCCAAAAAAGCCTTGCAAGTGATGTTGACTGTTTGCATTCAGAGGTCTTAACTGAATTTTGCTGCCATCTAGTGGACAGAATATATAACAGCCAGTTTAATGCCGCTGCTGCCTCTCTTTCTCTTTTCTCCAGGTTGAGTGGCGAGTCTCCGTTCCAGGGCAACAGTGATGCAGAGACCCTGGCCTTGGTCACAGCAGCCCAGTGGGAATTTGATGATGAGAGCTTTGATGAGATTACTGATGAGGCCAAAAATTTCATTAGCTCCTTACTCAACAAGGACTCAAGGTGATCTTGTCAATGTAAACTTACAGTATATCAGACCCTCCTCTTTTATTGCACCTGACCATGTATAACTCTGAGTGTTTTCTAGACGGCGGTTATCCTGTAAAGAAGCTCTCGCCCATCCGTGGATGGCAGCGTTTGACTCTGGAGATCTCACCAACACCAAGAATCTGTCCAAGGAGAAGATGAAACGGTTCCTAGCAAGGCAGAAGTGGAAGGTGACAGTCAAGAACAGCACTTTTTGTTGTTTCTTTTGAGATTCGGGTGTTTGTTCTTTTCTAGACTTTTTGTTTTTTTGTCTCATAGAAAGCAGGAAAAGCCTTGTTAGCACTGAAGAGAATGGCTCTGCTGTCTAAAAGTGACAGTTCAGGATCTCCTACCAGCCCTGGAGAAGGTTAGACATCAAGAAATCCTCAGTCTTACACGTTTCATGGTTTGATTCTGATACAATTCCTGTTTTTTCACTTTTCTTTTGCCTCCTCTGGCACTAGACTCACCCCTGAGCCCAGAGGCACAGCACGCCCTCCAGGCCCTTGAGCACAGGATGCACAGCCCACCTAAGTTTACCCAAAGCCCAGAAGACCAGACAGTAACACGGGGATCCAGCGCCTGTCTCTCGTGTCACCTGGAAGGTACACAACTGCTTGCCCCTGTTTTCCGACTTGCAACTTAACCCAAAAGTTGACATTTGTCCTTGGCCTAACCCCTCTTATCTCCCCCGGCAGGATACCCTGATCCAGAGGTGGTGTGGTTGTGTGGTGAAGAGCCTCTGGCAGAGTCGCCAACCGTGCAGATAGAGTATGATGAAGATGGCAGCTGCACCCTGGTCCTTGCCAAAGTTGGCCCTGAAGATGCAAATGTTTACACCTGTAGAGCCACCAATGACCACGGGGAAGCACTGTGCTCAGCCAAACTCACTCTTCTGAAATAGATTCATGAACATATATTCCTGAGTGCATTAACAAGATATACTGAATATTCCTCTTTTCATTTCACATAAGAGCCAAACTGTGCTTCCTGTCATGTAACAGGAGTTCTGATATAATATATTATTGTACAAAATGAACAGACTAACTTTGTTAAAGAGCTACCCCTGTAGATAAAAGCTGATATTTCCTTGCAGAGCTAAGTTATGGTTTTTCACACTTTTTTTTTCAAACAGCTTAAATAAAGACACAATCCTGCACTTTGGATGTAATCCTTAGTAACAAGTCGTCATCTTTTGTTTTACTGTGAGTTTGGGTTTCTATTTTCAATTGATTTCCCTCTTGTTAGAAGAACGTGTCTGGGAATCTTGAGTTTATGTGCCATACCAAATCATATACAGAGTCACACAAACAAGGAGATGTTTCCATGACAAAAGAAGTCCACAAGGTTTTTGTTTTTGTCGGACACATCTACATTAAAAGGATTCTTACAACAATTTGTTACACTTCCAGCCTCCAATCAAATTTTTAAGACTCAAATCTGGGGCTACAAAATGCACCCTTAATAGACTGATACCATTCTGCAACTCCAAAACTAAGTTCTACCATCACTAAACCTTTGTACTGACATACTGCACCCAAAAATAGTATAAAATTGGAGTGTTAGCAGGTTTCAATGATACAAGGCCTGCTGTGTCCTCAGCGGCTCCCACAAAGTCTACATGAACCATCACCTAACTTAGTGACTTTATCAGATGATGTTTGGTTGGCAAAGTTTAGACTGGGCATTATTGCAACTTATTAGCCCAACTCCACAAACACTAGGCTGCACTCTGGTTTAGAAACCAAAGGTTCAACAGGTATTACACTCCCAATTCAAGCTTTCCCGTACTTAACTCTGAGTCCAAATAGCTAACATAAGTGTGTGTAAAATTATGATAAAAACAGTTTTTGATGGTTTGAAACAATTCACACCTCTATATTTAACAGTGCAGACAAATGTTAATTCTTAAAATTCAAAATAAAATCAAAGTCATCAAAAAATGTATATGCTGGCTATGAATTTGATGACAGTAACTCATATCACATCACCTGGAATGGCATGTGTAATATTTTGTTGTCACATCTTTTAACAACAGTCTGTGAGGGTTTGGGAACTGAGTGGATAAGTTTCTGAAGTTTTCCTCTGCTATAGGATTTGAACTGCTCAGCCATTCAGCGTTGTCTTTGTTGTAATTTTTCTTACATTGTAGGCCAATTTTTAAAGGGGTGATAAGTTGGCTAGTTTATCTATAAGAGATAACTTTAATCCAGTTTTGATTTTTGGTCTTTTCCTTTTTGTACTCAGATTTCTCTAGATTCTCAGTATCTTTTCATATCATGAAATATATTTATAGGAATACCTCATTTTCATGTCATCATGCTGAAGATTGTTGGAGCTTTAGAGGCACACAAGAGGACAAGTGCACCTCTTGTCTATGCCATTAATACATCAGTCTTTAAATAAAAATATCAACCTGTGGTATGGAATATATTTACAGATGAAATCTTTCTGTGTAAACAAAGTAACAGAAAGAGCATTCCAGTTTTTGTCTTTATTAACGCTGAAGTTAAAGTGCAGTAAGAAACACTGTTCTGAAATTGTTGCAGTACTTACTAATGCAGTCTTACTTAGCATCTTTACTTCAATGCCACTCAGCCTCCCGGGTATATGCCCTGTTAAATCCACTCATGTCACTGAGCTGTTGCAACTTCACCCAATATGTTGGAAGATGTCCTGTCATGGGTATTTTAGCATTACACAACCTTTTCAGAGTATTTTTGTCCTGTTTCAACGTGTTTCTTTTGACACATGTTGCTGGCACCAAATATAGAATGAGCATAGACTTTTCATGAAACAAAAAAAGACATCCGTTTCAGCAGTTTTGATGAGGCCTTTGAACTATTTTCAGTAAGATATAACGCAATAAAGTGGTTTACAAACCATTAAATTGCTTTTCATAGACATTTTTCACCATGTCTCAACTTTTTCAGAATTGAAAACAAGTCGTTGAGGTACCCGTTTTTGGTGGAATCTGTCTCCATGAAAAAGTCTGAGAGTAACCCTCTTCAACTCCATTAAAATGATGTTTTCTTACATAAGTATGTGCTTTCAGAAACAAGAAAAACTGTCTATTGAAAACATAGCTGTTAAACATAGCTTAAAGTCAGCATGTTATTTTAAGGCCTAAGGGTTTTGTCTGATTTGAGTGTAAACCTGATGCTTATCTCCGTATATAAACTTACGTAATTTATCCAGCTGAGTCACCATGAGACTGCCAAAGTAAGCATGCTATATTAGATACTGTTATCTGCATGACTCACAGGTTTAAAAATTTCCTGAGTACTTTTAATTCTATTAACTCAGCTTGATAAAGATTTTATTCATTAATGATTGATGTGAAGACTGAGGTCATTCACAGTAATCTGTTCACCCATCAAAACTATGATTCAGAAATCAATCTTTAACAGGATTATTGCTCTGACCCTGCCACTCATGCACTCTGTGCCATTGCTCTGGTTTCTATTGTGTAGGGTCGTGATATGCATGGTCTACTTTATGTAATGCGCTTCATATAAAACAGTAAAACAGACTTAAAGTAGTTTTTACCAAAGGACTACAATGAGGGTTGTTTACAATAAATCAGTCCTATTTTCTAAATCAAGCTTTTTGCAACTATCACCTCCTGAGTTATGCCATCTTTTCTTAGAAGCTTAATAGCAGGAAGAGAAAGAATTATCGACAGCAGTTCTGGGTCATCTGCGCTGTGATTATGTAACTGTTCTCAAAAGTTTTGTTTTTTTTCTTCCTAAGCTGTGTCAAAGTAAACTATTATGAACAAGATACACTTGAAACTAGAAATCCTTCCTTGTGACATGTCTTAACCAGTCTCTTGGGGAAAAGTATTTCAACAGAAATCAAACCATATTTATGAGAGATAGATGTAAAAATGACACACAGCCGATGTTTACCAAAATAAGATCCTTTTAATTTCACCAACATGTATAAAATGCTTCACACGAAAGAGCCTTTATGTCTTTTTGATGTTTCAGCACTTAATAGAAGTCTGTACGGTATCCAACATTATCAAAAAAAAGAGAACATCTTAGTTCAACATGGTAAACTAAAGCCATTATCTTTAAAATAAATATAAATTCACAGGAGGGTACATAAATAACTTTGTAGCTTAAAGATAAGTACATTCCTTAAAAACTCAAGTTTAAGATACAGTGAGTGCAAATAGCGGATAAACATTTCCATGTCAATGAAAGTAGGTGGGAGGGGGTTTGGATGTGGACTTCAGGGGGTGAAAGAGGTCTTCTCAGGTTGACCGTCTCCTTAATGATGCTCCTTGCTGGTTCCTGTAGAGTGTCGCAGCCCGTGATTCAAAGGCACTGACCATCTGCTTCACTACTTGATCAAAGAATACGCTGGCTAGCTGAGAGTGCAGGAGGGACCTGAACTCAAATGACACCTATAGAGGACACAGGAGAGGGACAAACGTGTAAGCAGCAGAGCATTTAAAAGATGCTCCCATTGTTAGTTTTATTCATTTAGCAACAGAAACTATCAGTTTTGGGGTTATTTTCTTCAAAGAAACCACCTTAATAGGGATTTTAGCTTTTTTTTTTTTTTTAACATCAGTCTACCTTATTCAAGATGTTCCGAGAGTGAACCACTTCCTGTTTGACTCTGAGCTAATCCTAAGCCAACATCAAGGTCAAACTCCTGCCGGCCGCTCTTTAACACTGTTCCTGTCTGAAGAGCTATTTCAGTCCAGCAGTGACACTGGCCCGCTACACAGGGTTAAATTTAGAGCATAATGAGATTTTACTCAGCACTTCCTCTCAGCGCGTAGTAATCCATTCACAAAAGAACAGTACTGACTGTGAACCCTTGTCTGTCTAAAGCATGCAAAAAGTTTTTCCGTTTTTTTTTATTTTTATGTATTGTAGGATGCAAACTTACATAGAAGTCCACTTTGCAGGAGTCTTCCTTGTTCTTCTGGGGGGCAAATCTCCATATTGTTTCAAGATGGTTAAAGAGGGACCCGTCACTGCAGACAGCCTGTTACGGGAAAAATACACCTTCTTATCAAGTGAAAATAAACACGTCTGTGAATGGTGTAATAAAAGCTTACTCAGAGCCTCTGTTGTCTGTGTTATCTGCAGAGACATAAAGTCATCTGCTGATGCAAACTAACCTCTCATATCTCAAGTGTCTCCTTATCCTTATCTGTTTTAGCAGTGATCTTTTGTCAGCTTTCACTGACCATGTAAAGACGTGCAGGAAATGGACTACAGAAGTAATGTTACTAAACAACAAATGCAGGAGTTTAAAAAGTTTTTTAGGACCTACCCTGACTTGGTGGTTTGGGATGCAGGTGACCTCAGAGCTGTAGCGCTCCAAGACTGGGGGGAACCCTATTTCAAGCTCTGCCTGGTCGTTGCCACTTGGTCCCTTTGTGACCCGAGACTTCTTGCACCAGGGAACAAAGTGCTGATACTGTTCCACATTTGCCACCACATCATACATCTGCTCTGGAGTAAACCTGGGAATACAGTCACATGCAGAAAGCCACGCACACATTGAGATGATATTGCCATTTTATTACCATTTTTTTGGAGTTCCTGCTGCCCAGTATTTTCTAAATAAACATCAATAACTTTGTAAAAACTGTCTCTTCTAGTAAACTATTGGATAATTTATGTTATGACACTCACCCTAATGTACGGCATTCAGTGTACTCCATTCTGCGGGAGCTGATTGGGGCAACCAGGTTGATAAAACTGCGGCTTGGTGTTACAAGTGGGATGGATGGACAAAGAGGCAGGCTGTCCCTTCGTGTTGCCAAGACCCCACAGGAACCCACTTGTCTGTGGAGAATAAATGTGTGAACACAAAGAATGAGAAGGGAAACCCAATCTGGAAGGGGCCTATGGCTTCCAGTTATTAATGTTTACTTTCCTTCATATCTAGTATGAGTGAACTGGAATAAATAAAACGATTTGTAATCTTACACTAATTTGGTCAGATGTAAAACCATCTAAAGTGTTAAAATTCAAGCTGAAGAAAACTGAGCTGGATTTTTTTTCCCTTAGGCTACATGTAGTTTTTAGGATGCCAATTTCAAAGGTAAGACAGTGACAGAGTCCAGACAGTGTCAATTATAGTGGGCTGCCCACACACATACAGCTCAAACACAGCAAATAAAGTCTACTCTGCCACTACTATAACACATTTGCTCAAAGTTGTCTGTAGAAACCTCCAAAACGAAACCTAAATACCAATGCACAAAATGAAATACCTGTCCTGGGAGAGTCCCATGACTCACCTGATATTGGCTCTTTTAGTATTTCCCCTTAAAGCTTTCACAGAGTGGGCTTCAGACACATCCAGCAGCGCCTTCAGGAGGAGATGAGTCTTTTTGTTGGTCATTGTGTCGACTAATACTTGGATGGTTCACGCGGGTACCTCGGAAGATCGTGTCTCGAGTTGGCAGGTGGTAACGGCGGGACAGAGTCAGTGTTACCGGCTTTGCTCCACCTGAAGAGCTACACAATTAGAATAGCGGTGACGTAACAGGCGCCGTTTACTCTGGCCAATCAGAGACGGGGTTTGAGAAAATACAAAAGCTGACCTCCTTATTTTATAAAGGTGTGTCTTAAATTCTTTGTATGACCTTAAATTAAAAAAGGACTTAATCCGAGGTATGAAAATGAAAGGTTGAATTTCCCTTTGGAGACCAATCTAGGTCTAAAAAATCTAGATAGTAATAGTGAGTAAACAGTTTGGTTCACACTAGCTGAGGATGGTCATGTCAAAGAGGCGCATGATGTCCTCATGACACACCTGGACTTTGATCAGAGAGTAAGCAGTCCCAGTTATAGTGCCATGAAAATCAAACAAAATCTAGTGCCTCTCACCAGAAATGATGTAGTAAAACTTGTCACAATGGGATTGTGTGAAAGTCAGCTCAAGATTTCAGATTCAAAAACGTGTTTGTGTAAGTATTGTTTCTCTGCTAGTGCAAGTGCAGTGGTAAGGCGTTTAACAGCAATCTTGACTATTGCCACTACAATGTCACCATTTAAAGGGTTTTAAACTTAGCCTTTTGTAACGTCTTATTTAACTCTCACAACACTATTTTGCATGAGCCTATAAGAACTGAAAGGCTGAAATCTGCGAGTGCTGCCGTGTTAAGCGTCTGAGCAGTGATACAACCAGAACTGGTAGTGCAGGATCCATTTTTAGATCTTCAGACTGGAATTAGGGCACTTGATCAGGGGTGGATTTGAAAACAGAGGAAATCCCAATATAGGTCGGAAACTTAACATGTAATCTTACACCTACTAGAGAATCTAAAAAGGTTTACACGCAAGGCAGGGCTTGACAAATAGTTACACAAGGGATGGATGATGACCTCTCCCATCTTACCCAAAGTGCACAGAGAAGCATATAAGATCACTCAGTTATTATATTTATTAATCAGTACATGGCACCATGGCACTGTTGCTCCTGATTTTAACCTTCTCCGTGTGGATTTGTTGTTCCACTACTTCATTTCCTATCTGGTCTAATAACCCTTGGCAGATAAATCAGTCTTTAGCTCCAGTGTCAGCATGTGTGTGGTTGATGGACATATCCAGGGTGAATACACCCTGCCTCTTGACTGAACTTGATTAGTGGCTTAAGAATTATGTGGTGGAAAGACTTCTGAAGCATCTGACCTCTAAAATAAAAAAGCACAAGACTTCCTGTTGGACTCGAAATGCTACATATTATTTCACCCTCTCTTTGTGTATGTATGTGTGTATGTTTTATAGCAATGCGTTAAGAGAAAGCTCACTTCCAAAGAGAAATACCTCTTGCAAACAATGTTTTTCCTCTTACATTTTGTATTTTACAGTTTTTGGTATTTTTAGAGTTATAAGATATTGAGAACTTTATTTCCCCCTCAAGCTGCATTTCGTAGCAGTTTAATAAAGAAATATGGAATACATCATTCAAGTGTATTTAAAAGACATGCATATTTTCCCTGCTAGTGTAAAAACTTTTGGTAAATTTTGTTCATTTGAACTCAGAAGTTGTTGAATTTTTTTGTGATTTTTTTTTCCTTTAACAGTGTGATTTAAGACAAAGTAAGCTTTTCAAAGTCAAAAAGCATTTGGCCAAAAAGATTGGAGAAACTTATGTACTAGCTAAAATGTTATACCTCAAATATTCTCTAGACATGTGTGTGTTAAATTGTGATAAGACAAAACTGCACAACTGTTACACAACTGCAGCCATAGAGTTCAAGTGAGTCATCTTTATTACATAAATCAAAACAAACAAAGACCTAACTACTAATCTCTGCAAATAAAGAGGAAATAAGGAGCAGGACTGAACAGGATGTAGTGTCTCTGTTGGAATGAAGAATGTACAAAATTATTGGTCTGCATCTGAGAAGATGATTTTGCTCATTGCACTGATGTATGCCGAGCCGTCTGGTTCTGTGATCTTCAGTTTGATGAGAGGTGGGATGTCACCACAGGTGAAGTACCTGAATGAAGGGTTGGATGACTGGATGGCATCTAGAAATACCTTTGAGACAAACATAAAAAATAAAAAAAACACCACAGAGGTTAGATTCAGCATCTGCACTAAGGAACAGAAATTGTAGAAATTATAGAGTACAAACAAGATTTTGAAAAGCAGCTGTATTTCAGCATCAGTGTGTTGAAAGTTGAAAATAAAATAGTGAGAGAAGTAAGCCAATGATATAGAGCTACGGTTGAGTTGCTTAAAAACGTATAAGCAGTGCCATTAGCCTTTAAATACAAGAATCAGTTCTACACAGCGGGTGATTTACCTTTACAATGTCTTCTGTGTCCTGTGCTGCATTTTGGAAAACAAAGCCACAGTGCTGCAGGTACTTTTCATAGAGGCTGAGTGTGCGAGTATCAGCCTGCTGGAGGGACATATCCCCAAGCTCCGACTTCTGCAGGTTGACCAGGAAGTCGGTGTTGACTGGTCCACACTCAATAAGACTTACACTGCAGGACAAAGCATCAATATTTACAGTTGTGTACATATTTTCAGCCTCTAAATCAAAGGTATTGGTGCAAGTAGGAATCTCACTCACTGGATATTGAAGTGCTGGAGAAGAACTGCCATACTCTCACATGCTCCCTCTATTGCAAATTTACTGGCACAGTACAACTCATTAAAAGGCAGTCCTGTAAAAGAGAGTAAGAAGTACAAAGAGTGGGTATTTTGGCAATTTCATGCATGGCAGCCAGCTTCAAAATGATTTGTTTTTGGAGCTTGTATGAAATCATTACAAAAACTGCACATGTGGAACTGCACATGTTGATAATCACTGATTCCTCACCATGAAGACCTCCAGTGCTGCCGGTGACCAGAATCCGGCCCTGGCCCTGTGCCTTCATGCCCGGGAGGAAAGCCTGTATGGTTTGGATCGTGCCAAGGAGGTTGACATCAAGAATCTGCCTCATAGAGTCCAAGGATTGCACCTCCAGCGGCCCCATTAAACCCACACCGGCATTGCACACTGTGAGTAGAGAGGATAAGCCCTTTAACACAGATCCTCCAACCTACGCTGTAAATTAGAAAACATAGATACAAGAGCATACCAAGAATGTCCACTTGTTCCTCCACAACCATTTCCTTCGCATTGAGAATGGACTGCTGGTCAGTCACGTCCATTTGAAGTATTTCTAAGGTGTCCTTGTGTAGACCTTTGACACACTCTAAAAGTCGCTCCTTTTTGGCCAGGTTTCTCATTGTGGCATACACTTAACAAAAACCAACACAGTGAAGATTTTACAGGTCACATGTACATGTCGTTTCAGTCTCAAGCCAAGTTTATGTAGTCCAGTATACATACAATGCATTACAACACATTACAGAGACTCCATCATGACTGTTCCTGACCTAGTGTAGGCTTCAGAAGAACACAGTTTCAGACCCTGTTTAATAGAAATCAGCTCTTGTTACCTTTATATTCTCTGTTGGGGTCTGAGGCCAGCCGGACAGCCAGGCTGAGGCCAATCCCTGAGGAGCAGCCTGTGATCAGAACCACTTTCTTGTCCATCGAGTCTGGTCTGGTCCAAATGTTCAGCTTCAGGAGAGAGCAAGTGAAGAGATGTGGCTAAAACAGAGGCATGGGAAGTGTCTTGATCTCTGTGTTTTCATTTTTTCGCTGTCGCAGGGGCAGCTAACTCTAAACATCTTCCTGGTATCTGACACCCTGAGTTCTCTCAGCCTCGATCCCATGTCCTTGATGTTGTTGATGGATTTTTCCCACTAGGACACATGGGAAAATTTCTACCTTGATTTTAAATGTCTTTAAACTATGCCATCCTGGTTATCTTGTAAGAATAACATGGTGTGAAATACACAACACAATAAGCACACTGCATGTTCATCCTTTTAAATGTCGTCACTTCTATGAGCACCAGGTGGCAGTGTAACATCACTATGTTCCCACTCAAAACGAAAATGTCCATCTATTGACCACAAAAGTCAACAATATTGCCAGAAAGGAAAAGTGGGATATTGGGTATTATTAAACAGGAGAATGAGCATATAGAATCACCGAATGATCACCTCTTAAAGTCCCAAAACCAGAGTTCTCATCATTTTCTCCATCTTGTCACAAAGGAAAAAGTTGTTTAAAACTGGTTTAATGGTGGGTGGTCGATCTCTGATGCTGTCCAGCCCTTAGGAATTTGGTCAAGTGTATAAGCCACTAAACATCTAATTTCTTTGTGGAGTTGGTGCTCTTTTCCTCAGACGTACTAGTCTCAAAATAAGTAAGAACCTTAAATATTTATAAAGAGTTTAGTCTTGAATCAACAGGGTAAGAAAACTGCTATTGAAAAGTGATATCCAAACAAATCTTGAAAATTATGTAACTGCCTCTTCAGGATGTTACAGGCAAATAAGTATGACCCAAGCAGCCTGAAACGATTAAAAATATATGCCAACAATACCACATGTTAAAACAGCTAGTAAAGTTTCGTACTCTTAAAATTTATAAGTAAACTTTGATTACTGCATTGTTAGATTATCATTTTTTCAGACATTTATCTGTAACATGAATATAGTGTTATCTGGAGAGCCAGCTCTGTGATCGGCCTGAACCTGGAGTCTGTGGGTGCAGTACTGGAGCAGAGGACCATTTCCAGGCTCAGAACGATCCTGGAGAACTCCAGTCACCCCCTGTGCACCACCTTCTCCCAGCAGAGGAGCTCCCTTAGCAGCAGATTGCTGACACTGAACTCTTCCACTGAGAGACACAGGTCCTCTTTCATGCCCCAGGCCATCAGGGGCACAACACATCACTGGGGAGGGAGCGGAGTCAACACTCTGATGTATCTTCTTGCTGTCGTTGTTGTTGCATACGTTGTTGGATGCCGATGATGCCTATGATGATGATAATGTTAATGATGATGATATTTAATTGAAACTTTTATCAATTGTATTGTATTGTTGTTTGTATAAGCATGCTGAGCACAGTCCTTGAATTTCCTTCAGGATCAATAAAGTATCTATCTATCTATCTATCTATCTATCTATCTATCTATCTATCTATCTATCTATCTATCTATCTATCTATCTATCTATCTATCTATCTATCTATCTATCTATCTATCTATCTATCTATCTATCTGTTATGAGATATGTCTAACCAGATCAGAGATAAATCTGCTTGTGAACATTTAAGTCTTAGCTGTGTGCAAATATATCAATGACACAGCTAGATAACTGAGGGGAAACGTGACCCTTTTAATAAAGCGAAAGATCCAAACACAATTCAGTGTATTCATCTGGAGAAGTATGAAGTATATTTTGTGATTACAATATGTGTGTATAAAAGATGCCACTAGATGGCAGCAAACTCCAAAGTTACTATTCACCCAATGGAGTAAAGTAAAGCCGACTATGTGCCATGTCAGGACAAGAATAGAAAATGTAAATTCATTTCATTTGTTGAGATGCATCTTGTTCAAGCTGCTGGTGCACATCATGGTTGTACACTCTCTATCTCCAGCTCATAACTCATCTCTTCCATTGTTTTTCTGCCTTGTTGCCATCTTTGAGCATTTCAGCAGGTACAGCCCCATGTGCATTCTCTTTTGTCTGAGTTTCTGGCATGTCAAAAAAAACATTTCAGCAGCCTTGTTTGAAAGAATCTCTTCTGGTGGGAGCAAACCAAGTAGGAATTTCCTGCCATTTTGTTTCGTTCCTCCCATTGAGATGGCATCAGCTTGGCCTCTGTCCCAGAGTCTGTGGGACAGATAACAGTAGACCTTGAACTTCTTACAAATAGCTATGACTTCCAAGCATTAAAATCTGACCTCAGAACTTACTGCTGAGGGACTACATGCATCTATTGTTATTTTTGCATCAAACATTGCTCTTTTTTCAGGACCTTAAGAATACTTTGATGCTTGGCCTTGCTTGTGCTGAGCCCTTTTCTTTCTTCTCTCACCCAAACAAATCTTAGAGGTACAGGCTGTACTTCATCCTTAAGTTGTCTCTGGATCCATTCAGACAGCATGGTACAGGCTCTGGTCCATGGTCTGGTAAAGTTGGGCATCTTCCTGTGACACGTGGCTTCGTAATTACCAAGAGAAGGTTGAGTGGTGATGCACAGTGGTCTGGAAAAGCCTTTAACACCTCCTGGACAAGATAGGCCCAAAGCACAGAGAGTAAACAGACCTCTAGGACCTTGGGGTTTCTCTGAGAATGAGCGAGGACATCTCACGTGCACAGTGGTGTGTCTCAGAGGAAAGTCAAGTATTTGTTGGATGTGGTAGAGACAGCTGGCCGGCCTCGTGCTCAAGTTATTAGAGGAAGAAGTCTTTGATTTTTACTGTGACTGTAGGATAGGACTTTCTGCTACTGCTTTAAGGGAGAAAAAAACAACAGCTTCTCAGTGTCAGCCCGAGCATGTGTTCATCCTGTAAGATGTTTGAGTCTCCGTCAGGGCAGTGCATGGTGCACCAACTTCGTGTCAGTTTCAAATGACACTTTCTGTGGCTTCAGAAGCAGATACACCTGACAGGATGTCCCATGTGAGAATGATGAGCAGAAGTGAAACCGCTGAAGGCATGTGCCTGTGGTTTACGAAGCGAAGTCAAAACATCACGTATACATCAATCAACAAAATTAAATGAGGTCGATCTACTGAGGGCATTTCAGTTGAACAGAGACAGGCACATCCTCATTGCTGCCTCACTTTACAGAGGTGAAGGCATTTTATAGCGACTGAGATCATCATTTTTCATTATGAGTAAAAAGGGGGGACAGCAAAGGGCAGCAAGATTTTAATCTACAATCGAAACTGCAGCAAAAGAAGTCAAGTTTCTTTGTGACTGTTTAATCCACAAAATGTGTTTTCTTGGTATATGTCAGTGCCTGAGGGAGATTTCTTACATATTTGTGTTACATTTGTGAGATAGATATCTTAGGTGTTGTAGAGATATCTGGTATAAATAGAAAGCATCTTCTGTTATCTGAGATTCAGTCTACTGAACAAAAAGGGTTTGCAAGAATTCCTCCTCTGAGAATTTAATCCAGGGTGATGGACAACCATACCAAGCAGCTATAACTTTTTATAACTGCCCATAAACTGCTGACGGACCAAAGATGCCGCTCTGGATAATCCTCCTATTCTGATGAAATGTGCTCCAATAAAGGATTTAGACAGACAGAGAGAGCCTTGGAAATGCAGAGTGCATTTTTTACAAAGAGGAAGTGTGGCTCTGCTAAAATCATCATGGCTGAAACAGGAGAGGATGTGTGGAAAGTATGAATGGTTTTGAACACATAAACACAGTAGCAGAATCAGCACATTTTTAAAGAGAATCTAATTTCCTGAAACTATGGTCAGGGTATAACTGCATTTAACTTGGTTATTATAGAGGTATACATCTTATCTGTCAGGGTTCAGAATTAAAGAGGAAAACTGCTGGTCTACCAAGACAGGAACAGAAGTAAAAATGTGATCTACGATTTTCCATCTTAGAGCAGGGCAGAGGTCACTGGGAGCTGTCAGAGGAGGGGACTCAGGCCTTTAATAGATGTTTGTTTCCTCTGAGTTTTGATATATGAGATGGTGCAGAGGTTATGGTTGTCTGGACATATTCCTCAGGGCTGCAGTCTGGCTTTACATTAAACAAGACAAATTTGTGTTCAAAACCCTCGGGGCCTAGGAAATGGAACGAATGGTGTCATGGGAACTGTCCCATCCATTCTGATTTAGCCAGTTGATGCATTTTTTCGTCTCACTTTAACGCTTAAGACATCCTGTTTCAGCTCCTTTCCTGGCCTCGGGCACGGGAGTCTGCCTTGAAACTGACCTCGCCTGTATTAGGCTCAGACTGTAGGATGGTTCACGCTTGAGGTCAAAGCAGGACAATTTCTGAGTGTATGCATACCTGCTACAGCTGCATCATCATGGGAACCTCAGCTCAGTTAACAAGCACAAACATATCTGAACTATGTATCAGAGGTTTGTTCCTCTATGAGATCCAGTTCTAGATACCAAACAGAAAAAAACTCAGCCTGTGTGAGTGCAAATCTCATCAACGGAGGTTCCTCAAGGTCAAGTTTCTGGTCTGAATGAGAAGATACAGTTTAAATCATCAGATGACTGTGGTTATACAGGGTAGCTTAAAGAGGACTATTGATGAATGTGAACAAACTGAGGAGACAAAGGACTACACTTAAACCATGTCCGATTCACATAAATATCCACATTCACACTCATGTGTACATTCCAGTGTTAATCTGGCCTGTCTTGGCTCACTGTCTGCTCCAGGTGCAGCTGGCGGAGAATGCCTGGCACTCGGTGCATCACCACCTCACCTGTAATGTGGTGAAATGAAGAGATGGGTGGTGTGTCCTTGCATGGAAAGTGACTCAGCTATACTGGTATTTACCCGGCGTTGAATCCAGACATGTTTTTTCACTGGCACTCTCACTGGGTATGGTTGACATGCAGAATACCTTACTTAACATGGACTTCAGTTTCTGAATCATTCCTGAATAACACTCTGTAGCGTGTGGCCGCTTGCCTTCCCACAGGTGGTGATGAAATCGGTGTGGCACCCCACCCACCAGCTGGTTACCTGGATACCTTGTTTACAAAATAATGCTTTGTGATGGCCTGTTTAACAGTGGCGGACAAGAATTTCCCATAAATATAAACACCACCTTACATAACACAGTTTTTGGGGATAAAGTTC